AAATTTTGATTTATTTACGAAATTACCACCCTTCAGCGTGCACGTTTCGAGCATCGTAGAAAGCAAACCCGACTTTTGTTCTAGAGATCTCTTCGACGACAAACCCATGTTGCTCCAGAGCTCTTCAACGACAAAGTCGATTCGGCGCCTCACCGTCGCACACCTCGCCCTTCCCCTCGCCGTCGCACACCTCGCCTTACCTCGCCGCCGCACTCCTTACCAGAACTCGAATCAATGGTAACGTGCCAATTGTATATATATTTTTGTCGATTTTTTATCATTATTCTGGAAATTAGGGTTTGATCTAAATTTGGTGTGGCTGTGCTCTGCAACACGATTGACGATTTCGATGTCGGCTTCGTGAGATCTCTTCGATCTTTGCTCCCAATTTCTGTAAATTTGGGGTTTCTTGGGGTATAATGTTTTCAAATTCTGTTACTTATTGGATGTGAAGATCTAATTCAATTTGGTGATTAATATAATTAGATTGTATTAAATTTTTCTTGATTTTGTAGAATTTTACGTTTTAATTTGTGGGTTTTGGAGAATTCTTCATTAAATTTCTGGTTTCTTTTGATGTGAGATTTAGTTAATTTTTGTAGCTTTTGTAAAATTCTTCGATTAACTTTTTTTGTTTTGTTCTCTTTTCTTTTTAGCAAGTTATGGAACCAACTAAAGATCAATTAACTTATAACTGATTCTTCTCTCTTCAGGTTCATGGATTGTTAAGCAGAGTGTGGGAAAGAAAGGGTGCCTCACTGGTTAGGCACTTGAAATCAATTATTTCCATCGGAAGAACTACTTGGAGGTAATGTTGAAGAAATAATTATTAAAGTACATTAAAAATTGTAACTTGCGTTTTGATATTCTATATTACTCCACATGCTAAATCTGCTTGGACATTGAATGATGGAGGAGCTGGTTTCTTTTTTACTTAGGGAGTGTGGGATGAGATTTAAATGTGTGCCTCTCATGATTTGCATAAACATAACTTGGATATGAAAGTATAAGATATCATGAATCATATGTTATTTTCTAATTTGGATACATTATGTGAATTATTGCTTCTTTAGAAAAGATTAAGGAAGGTGGGTTCATCATGGGATTTAAGTTTTAACAATACAACTTCTTAAAATTGAGTAAATGCTCGCATTTGATAGAACTTTGAAGATGGATTTTCAGGTTCAAATTTTGGTTGTGTATTGGTACTGTGGAGTTTTTACTTTTATTTTATTTGTGTGTATGGTTGGGAATGAGGTATCTGAAAATTTTGGAGAAAAATTAGTGGCTATTGTTTACTTGCAAAGTCTGTAACTTTCTTTTAGCTTTTGCAGGACGTTTGGGAGCAAGCTGAAATTGATATCATTGAGCACAAGACAAGAATAAGCCTCCATTTCCATCCCCTAAAAGCAGCATAAGAAAATTAAACAAGCATTTTCATACAGCTGGAGGCTGTAAGTTGTTTATGTTTTTCCAATTATTACTTATTTGATAATATTTTGTTTTTTCTGGTTTCACTCTATTTACGGACTTACCATTCACTAAGGATTTCAGCTGGGCTTTTTTCTTTTCAGATTTAGTTGTATGGGCTTTTGCGGGTTTGGGCTGTGACTGGGTTGGTGGGTTTTGTTTGTGGTTGGGTTTTTCAGATGGATGGCGCCACGGGCAGGCCTAGCCTGCAACGATGCCAGCGAGAAGAGATGGGAAGAGATGGGAGGTGTCGTGTGATGCGAGAGAGAAGAGAGAGAGGAGTCGTCCGATGGCAGATAAGAGAGAGGGGTCGTGCGATGCCAGAGAGAAGAGAGAGCAGGACTCCTGGAAGGAAAAATTGGAGGAGAGAGGGAGGGGTAGGATGAGCAATGCAATAGGTAGGGCTGCCCGGAATTTGGGTTTTGTTTTTTCTTGGTGAGGTATGCTTAGAGAAGCGGTGAGGGCATGAAGGGACGCCTAAACCGAGGGTTGGTTTCAGAGATTTGGTTCCAACTGGAAGCTATCTCTGCAAGCATTGATGAGGATTTCTCCCAGCTGGCAGCTTCAATTCCTTTCAAATCTAGGTGTCCCTTTTGAACCGAATTTTCCCTTATTTCACTGCTTCTGGTTTGAACCTGCTTAGGAACCTGTTTTTTTTTCCTGCTTTATTTTTCTGTCTGGTTCTGGTTCGGTTATTCAACTTTTAGTTGGGAGTGCAAGATATGTTTTTAAATTATTAAATTGGGACAGAAAAACAGATATTTTGTGCTGCTTTCTTCACTGTCTGATAATACCACTTCCTCTTCATTTCTCTTTTTCTTCCTGTTGTGTTGGTCTTTTAGTGTTATAGCTTCTCTGCAGAAATCAAACTGTATGCAATTTGTCCCTTTTTGTTCATTACCCTATTATTTGTTTCCCCTTTCTGTGGTTCGCAGCGACTGTGATCATTTCCTAACAAATGTATGGAGCTGTGTTCTTTTTGGTGGGGAATTATGGTTGGTGATGTTAACAATGGATCGAGTCTTTCTGTTTGGTGTGATTATATCGTTGAACAAGCATGGTTTTAAAGTGGATGCAGATGACAATTTTGTTTGCACGAGAAAATGGTTGAGTTAGTGGTTTTTAATCGTTTAATTGTTGTGCCTTTGCTATGATCCCTGTTCCAGCGGTGTTTGATTGGTGCAAATAGATTTTCATTGTTATTTCTTAGCTGTTATTTTCGTTGCTGTTCTGTGAGTTAGTGTTAATGGCTTTGCTGTGTTGCGATTTTCAGGAACTTGGATCATTGGACAGAGAACTTGGCCCATTGGCTTTTGAGGTATATTTATTTGCGGTTGTTATGGTGGAATGTGCAATCGTTATGTCTTAAGTTGAGCCTGGTTCTTTAATAAAAACAACCAAATGTATTGACTTTTGCATGTGTTTTGCGTGAGAACACCAAGTTGTGATGTGTTCGTTGTTGTAAACATTATCAGCAACTTTGGCTTTTCATGTGTTCGCATGATAAAAATGGCTAATATATTGAGTTTGAAAATAAGGGTTTGGGGTTCACTGTCTTTCCATGTGTATAATTTTACCCCTTTTTCGTTTCTTTATAATTTCAATTATCTTCAGCAACCTAATCACTAAGCTTATTAAATTCATTGACCAGGTGATTTTGGATTCAATCCAGAAGTTCCTAATTCTCAGATTGTGTTGTATGTTCCTTTGTGGTAGTGAGATTGGTAAATCATTGCATTTTACTAAAGTATTTGACCTGCGTGTTCTGAACTTTTGAGCTCATTTCGTCTCTAAAATGTCCTCTTGGAGCTCTTACTGTGATTGTTCTTCTATTTCTTTTATTCAAAATGTTTTACATTTCTCATTTAATTGGTGCGCCATGCTCTACTTCAGTTTGTATGTTTTTTTAATTTTTCGGTTATCATTTGCCATCTCGCTTCAGTTTAAGTGGTCCTTTCACCTTAGTTTATTAGACCACAGCAGATGTTATTATGAGACCATTATATTGTAATTGATTCTGATGACGGAGGTTTATCGGAGATGAAGGCTAATGCTTAAGCTTTCAGTGGTTAATATCTCTTGAAACTTTTGATTTCATTTATCTTATTGACCTTTTCTCTCTTTTTTTCTCTCAACAGTTGGGATGAATGGGTAGGGTTGGATCGTCTGATGAAAAACACTGACGAGAATAAGAAGAAGCATGAGTACCTCAACCAGAAACAGAGAACAGACAAGAATGCAAAGCTAATACACACAACACATACTAAACTAAGAAGTTATCATGGTTGGGTTTATCATCTTTAACATTTCTTTTGTTGTTGCCCAATCATGAAATTTGGATTTATTCTTGAATGTTAGATGTAGGGTGTGTAATTCTGGCATGTGACATGAACCATCCTATTTTTGGGCGAGCTTTGAGGTTTAACGGTCATACCCTTCATAGGGGTAAATATAATGGATATGGGATACTGAAAAAGTAACAATGTAGTTAACTAATTTACCAACATGCATTCTTCATTTATGATCATAACTTGAATACGGTTCTTGAATTAGGATGCCAAGAGGTTAGGTACTGAAAATATATCCTGTTTTATTAACTTCTCTTGCAATTTGAAAGTGTATATAATCTGCATTGTTCTTACTGTTGGTATGAAATTATGTAAAGCGTCAAGAGGGAAGAAGCGAAAGAATGACTCTGTCTGTAAGGTATACCTCCAGGTCATTATACATATCTCTCTGTTCATATTATTTCCTTTTCATTCTTGCTAAATTATTGGGTTATTATATTTGTGTACAGATATTAGTGTATTTGTTAATTGGATTTTGATAATTGGAGTTCAAATATTACATTGTTATAGAGATACCAATTTCTCATATGATTGCAATTTGAAAGTAGATATGTGTTATTTGATTTAATCACAAAATTTGTATCCCTTTAGCTAATAGTATGTTTCATTTGCTGAACTGGGTTGGCTTTAGTTTTAGGTTTATTTATGCGGTATGCAGTTGGTCAGTTCTTCAACATATTCTCAATTTAGAACGAGAGAAACTAATGATTCTTCTGAATGAAAATGTTTCAGATGGGTTTCTGTAATGCGAATTTCGTGAGGTTCATAACACTGATTTGATTCTCTCATAAGAAAGGATCTCCTCTCTGGCTTTCTAGGCCAAGTTGTCGAAGCTCTCTCTGTAAGTAATTTCTCACCCTTTTCTTCATATTTACCCCCATCGTAGTAAAATCGGATTTCTTTGGTTAAATTGATTGCGCCAATCAGTTCATTTGCTTTCAATTTCTTAATTCTCTGCTTCGTTGCTGGGAAAGTGTGGGCAAAATGATTTAAATTTACTTCCTTTTATGTTTTCAACTTCAATCTTCGTAGTAATTGTACCTAAATGAGCTGACTTTTGTTACAGTTTTTTGTGGAATTCCATCTTCTATCTGTTATCTGATTGATCTAATTGATTTTAAAATGTATATAAAAAAGTGACTTGATTTTTTGTTTTTTGCTCTGTTGACTTCTGAACTGTTTAATTGGATTCATTATCGAAAAAGCTGATTTTTTATTATATTTATTTATTTATTTTTAAAGAAAAATGATTCTTGAAAGCACAATGTTGATGGGTTTTTATTGCCCATTTCAAAGACTGATAAATTGACTTTTGGGGGAACATGCCTAGCACTTTTTTCCTGTGCTGATTTGAGCTGCAAATGTATGAGGGTTGGTCTGAATTGACGAGCATAGATTTTGCGTAAGCAAATGTATACTAATTTAGGATTTTGAGCATTGTGGTGGTATGATCTCATGATAAAATGTCCAAGAATATATGATTTTTTATTCTTTTGATTCAGTATCATGACTCAGTTGCAAAGCACTAAACATTGTAGTTAAATACTTGCATGCTAATGGTTTGGTGTAATGGTAACTCATTTAGAGAGAGAAAGTGGCAGCAGTAGTGGGGAAGGAAGAAGGACCATTCATGTTTCTGTTATCATTTCTGCCATTCGAAACTCTGGGGTTTGGCTTTGGCTCCGTTAGCTGTTGAGGTAATTATTAATTTTTTTTCTTCAGTATTTGGTAGTTTGATCATATGGGTTTCACTACTCAACCCTTCTCTACCATTACGAACAGGTTCACTTTTTAGGGTGGGTAATTTTGTGGTTTGAAAATTATGTGTTAGAAGTGTTAAGTTTGGGCTTAGAAATGGGTTTTCTGTTAAAATTTCATTTTTGTGATTTTGGGGGTTTTGTTTCAAGCAATCTCATCCTTTCAATAGGACTTTTTCCAAATTTTATTGGTGGGTGTTGGGTGCTTTTGAATTTGGTGAAATTTGTGATTTGTCAGTGCTTCAATGGTGTTTTTGGAATGATTGGTATTTTTGGTGTCAAATGCAACTAATTATGCGGATCTTAAATTGTAGATATCTAAGAGTGACAAATGCAACTAATTATGTGGATCTTAATTTGATGATTCATTTCTTTCACTCAGTTTGTCACGAAATGAGTTCAACCATGGATTCGTATACATTGAAGTCTACATCAGATTTGTCTGCTCTCTGACCTGATTGAGTGAGGGAGGAGGGATAGAGCGCATAGAGAATATGACGGAAATTGAGGAGGAAGCCCATGCTTGCAGAGAGTTAGTGAGATCTGAAGCCCATGCCTGGATGAACTCATTTAATTTGAGCACACAGAGCTCAAATCTGGTGTTCAAAAATAAGGCGGAGGCCACGAAGTTCTCAAATCCAAGATGAAAAGGTATAATCCACGCCTCTGCAACTATTTGTGTCCTTGATATATATATGCCATTAGTTGTTAATTATATTTTTGGTCTGTGTCTATTCCCTCTATTCTCATCCTCCCCTCCCGCATCCCATCTTTGTCGTTGCCCATATTCTTCTCTGTGAATCAATGTCAATGTTTAATTTTCATGGGCGGTGCAAAAAAATTTTGGACTTTTTGTGATCCCACAACCCCACCCCCACATATAATTGGCTTTAAAGGGTTCTGGGTTCTATTATTTTATTATTTGTTTCTCTCTTTTGGACCAAAAGGGAGATTCTGTTCATTATTTAAAAGTATTATTAATTTTTTTAGAAATTTGAAAGATTGTTTCAAACATTGATATATAAAAGCAGTGCAGTTTGGCTTTATTTCTTCTGATATATTCTCTCTTGCTCTCTTCAAAATCCCACAACAGTGTTTGGAGTTGGAGGCTTTTGCTCTGTTGGGTTTTTTTCCAATAACAAGAGCCGAAAGGTATTCCCTTTTCATATTCTTCTCTCCCAATTTCTTTAGGGTTAATTCAATTTTCTTATGCTATTTACAGTGGTGCTTTTTAGGGTTTAACTATTTGATTTCACAGATTCATTACAAACACAGTAAATAGTACATTTTAAATTCGTATTTCATAACTTGGTTGCTTGATAACAGAGTAAATAGTTACATTTTAAATTCGTATTTCATAACAAGTAAATAGTTACATTTTAAGTCGTCGGCTCTGTATCCTTTTTGGTCAGTTTTGTTTTAATCTCATAATCTATGTTTCTTTATCTCAATCATCAGTGGTATCTGGTTTGCAAGAAATTGAGGATAGGATAAGAGAAGTGGAAGTGAGCCTGGTGCGAGAGGGTCTTATCTCAAAGACTCAGAGAAGGCTGAGATGTATAAGAAGCACAAGGAAATCCCTGAAGTTTATACTGTTGAGAGGCTGGCTAAGGATTATAGGATTATAAGGCAGAGAGTGCATGCTATGCTTTGGCTTAAAGAGCTTGAGGGGGAAGAGGAGAAAAAGCTTGGTCGTCCTTTAGATGATTCTGTTGAGCTCCTGCTTGACACCTGCCCAGAGTAAGATATCAATTCACAAGCATTACTTCTATTATATACAATGGGTCCTGTAGTTCTAATAATTTTGTAATGATATCAATATTCTGTGCATACTTCATACTGATGGTAAAGGTTTCATGCTGCGTTAATTGTAGTCGCAAATTTATAAGCTTAGTGGTGCTTGGCTGATCTAATAGCCAGATTTTATTTCTCATAGTGCATAACTCCTTTCCTCTTTTCAGATTTTTTAATTCTCATGACCGCGAATTCCACGTGGTATCCCTTACCTACAAACCTGATTTCAAGGTTATGCCAGAGGGTTGGGACGATACCACCGGAGATTTGGATGAAGTTCATTGTGAAATCTCAAAGAAAGAAAATGAAATGCTCTATCAAGAGTTTGTCCAGAGAATGAACTTCAACAAAATGAAAGTAAGTTCCATAATCCTGACTTTTCCATGAGAAAAGAAAGCAATCCAACATTAATAATTAAGAAAAAAGCATAGTTCTATACTACAAAGTGTTACTGTTACGTCTCTCATTATTATTAGCTTTTCTTTCTCTTTGTTCATATTTTTGTCTTCGAGGATGAATCATTGGAAGCATATATGTTTTTCCATCATGCTTTTCTTTTTCCCACTAAAGTGGCATCAATAGTTATTGTATTTCTCCTCTGCATACCTCTTTATACGAACAACTGATGGACTTTGCGGTGTACAAGCAAACTGGTTATGAGAGTATTAAGTGGGTTTCTGTAAGACAAGGTGATAGATTAGCAAGTCTTAACTCAGTTTCTTCCTACTAATTGTGCAATGTCTTTACATGTTAGCTTAGTTGAATGTATATAAAAGTCAAGTTGTTTATCTTATCGATCTCATTCACTTATGTGCCCCTTTGTTCATTCATGATTGTGTTGAATTTGTTCAAGTTTAATGTGTTTTATTCATGTAGTTACGCCTGAAACAGTGGTTCCCGCCGCAACGCGCGGGCTTATTTTCTAGTCACTTCTAAATGAGTTTTTTTTTTATCTTTGTGCCACATAGAAGCCACCACAACCATCATTGGCTGGTCAAAAATGCCAATGGTCACTTGCAGTAGTTGGTACACGTCATGAACCAATTTTCTCAATTCAAGCAGCGCAGCAGCTTGTTTGCTGAACATTTATCATGGCAACCAAATTCTCCCATCACTAAAAGTCAAGGCAAATTTGTCACCTACCCTTCAACTTCACTGCAATCAGCAATCGCTTGGAGCTGCCCCCCACTTTATTATTTTCTCCCGTCATCACACACACGCTAGTGACTAGTTTACTGACTAGGACTGGGAAACAGATTGAGATCAAGTTCAAGTTAGTCTAACTAGTGATACGATGAAGCAATGTTTTGATCTTCATTTGTAAGTTCGAGGTTCCGGGTTTGATTCACATTAATAGCGAGAACATATTATTTTTTGTGTTGAGTTTAATATTTAGGAAGTGGTTGACCCATTGTGTGGCCTAAAACCACCCACTTAAATGCAATATAATGTTGTATCCAAAAAGTTCTTTTAGCCCCCCTCCCTTAGAATAGATTATCCCCTTTAGATGAATCTTTCATGCAACAGAAATACTACCTCAAGTAAAATTGTATATTATTGAATGGAAGAACAATATGGTTAACCGCTATCCAACTCAATAGTGGTCTGTTTACTTACCAAGAACGAGAATGCAAAGTATGAGTATAATTCTCACTCCTGACATCATGGGTTTACTAAAATGCAAGGAATAAAAAGGTAACATAATCCCTTGTTAACTCATCCGAAAAGTAAGTACGCATATCCTAAAGTACAATTCAAAAATGAGTTCCGTCTCCATCGAAATGGTCCAATTCCGCCGAACCAACAAGTGACAACCAAAGCATCCATCCTTCACACTTCTTTTTGTACTTAGCCATTTAACAACTTCCCCCCCTTGCACCAAATGCAAACATTGCCTATTTAGAAAGACATCCCTCCCCCCGAGGGTTTAACCTCCCCACCACCACCCCCAAACCCCAAAAAGGATGACTTGGCTTCACACAAATCCCTCCACTTGGCAGCCTCGAGACGTGTTGCCCCGTCATCCGGGCAGCCCCCCAAACCCCTCATCTTTTCTGCCCTTTCTTTGTCAAATCGAAACCAACACCCATTACCCACCCCCACCCCCCCCCCCCCCCCCCGCCCCGCCCCCGCGCGCCCCCCAACCACCTCCCTCTTCCCCCATTTGACAAAAACACGTGCAAACACTCAAAAGAATCACAAACCAAAACATCTTTCCCCTCTCCTACCACTTTGAACTCCTTCACACTCCTCTGGCTTCACTACGAGACAAAACCCACCGAGATCTTTCAGTTTTATATACATCCCCCCCCCCCTCTCTCTCTCTCTCTCTCTCTTTAATGGCGTCCACCTGCACACGCGTCTCCGTCTGAGCCTCACCTCCTCTGTTTTCCTCTCTCTCTCTCTCTCTCTCTCTGAAAAAACAAAATGCATGAACCTTGCTCTCGAAGTATCCTCACCCATTAGCATTACTTGCCCACAAAGCAAATCAAAAACCAAAATCCCAAAAGAAATCCCCCACCTTTCGAATCCCACCTCCTATTTAATCCCACCCATCTCTCTGTTTTTCGTCGCTGTTAAAAGCCCAGAAAGCTTTGCTGTTTTTGTTTTGGTTATGACAAACGGCTCTCACAGCGGCAATGCGTCGAACACATTCGAGGCATTCTACGAGGGCTGGCTGGTCCGGCAAGAACACTTCCTCGATGAGCTCTTATCGGCCCAGCAGACGATCGACGAGGCCCGAGATGAAGACCTCCGAGATTTGGTGTCTCGGGTTCTCTTCCATTACCAGCAGTATTACGACGAGAAATCGCGACTTGGACAGCGGGATGTTTTACTGGTTTTCTCGCCGACGTGGTATACTTCCTACGAAAGGAGCCTGCTTTGGATCGCCGGGTACAAACCGGGTATCGTATTCCGGCTCGTGACCGAGTCGGTGCCCGATTTGAGCGACCAGCAGCGGGTCAGGATTGCCCGGCTGAGGGAGGCGACCCGGGTCGAGGAGCGCGCGCTCAACGACAAGCTCGCCAAGATTCACGAGAGCGTGGCGGCGCCGCAGTTCATGGATGTGGTGCGGCGGTACGGGAGGGCCGGGCACGGGGAGATAGTGGAGGACGACGCGGTGATCAAGTCGCTTAAGTCGGCATTGGAGACCGTGGTGGAGAATGCCAACTTGCTGAGGACGACGATGGCGACAAAGCTGGTGGATTTGCTGAGCTCGGGGCAGGCAGTGAGGTTTTTGACGGCGGTGATGCAGTTTCAGTTAAAGATTCGGAGTTTGGGGTTGGAGAGGGACGCCGAGAAGCAGCGGGAAACGAGCGGAGGCGGTGGTGGTTGGAGTCCAATTGGTAGTAGGTGGTAGAATTTTGAGTTTATATTTTGGAGGAAAATGTATGGTGGGTTAGGCTAATAATTTTGATTATGGATGGTAATGGTAATTTTGAGATGTGCATTATGTTATATTTAATATGATTGCATTTTGCAATGGAGCTTGGATGAAGAATATGTTTTTGAATATAATTGATATAATGGAAAGTTTTGACTTGGGACATAATAAATTTAAATTTGGAACGCAGTGAATAGGAAATGATGATGCAATTTGTTTTAGTTACATAGAAAAATAACACTTTACAAATTTCGATTAGACACCAAAAACATTACTAAAAGGTATGATCTTTGGAATGTATGGTCAATGAAACGAGACTCACAAGAATATTACTAAGAAATGTATGATCTTTGGAATGTATGGTTAATAGAACGAGACTCGACCAGACTTCTACTCGTACTTTTCTCCAGCTTGGAGTCCTATTAGATCAAATTCCAATCACTTAAGGAAAGGTTATCGGATGATCAAGAGAACAAAACTTGATCAGACACTTCTAGTCAAACATTTCTCTCACTTAGAGGCCAATTAGACCAAACTCCAAGCACTTAAGAGCAACTTTTTATCTCATAGACATCAGTTGTTGATTAAAAATGTCTTCGAAACTCATGGGCGTGTAACGGCTCCCTTGGCCTTGAGGGGGGAGAAGACGACATTTTGGAAGGTTACAGTCAAAGATGTAACTGCTTATGACATTTAGCTACCCGTTAAAATCTTATCCTACAAAACCCAACAACTTTTGGCGGGAATTTTGCTTTTGCTTCTGTTGTGGTAGGATAATCTGGTCGATACAGACGCCCCTGGCAAGCTTTCCTTTGACCCAACTACCGAGTTATAGCAATCTCTGGACATAAGGTTTCAAAAAGTTCATTTCCTTTGTCACTCATTTGGACGTAAACTTGTCCGCCCACGGAGTTATGCCGGCGGCGCACAAGCCCAGGTATGGCTCTTTTTTGGCGAATAATTCGAGGGTCTGCTAGGATCATTTATGTCTTTCAGAACTATACCGATACTGTAGCATCCCACATCGTTCAGGGGAGTAGATCCTCTAAGCCTTATATGTATATTCTCATCTCTACCTAGCACGAGGTTTTTTGGGAGTTTATTGGCTTTGGGTTCTATCGGAATTTCGAAGTTAAGCGAGTTCGCGTGAGAGCAATCCCATAATGGGTGACCCACTGGGAAGTTCTCGTGTGAGTTCCTAGAAACAAAATCGTGAGGGCGTGGTCGGGGTCCAAAGCGAACAATATCGTGTTACAGTGGAGTCGAGCCCGGGATGTGGTGGGGGCCCGGACCGGAATGTGACAGATACAATGTCTATAAACAACAATTTATAACGCATCCTTATTTTTGGTTGTCAATGGATGAATTCACTTCATCCCTTTTGACATCAGACAACCTCGTTATTAATGAAGGAAACTTGCGGAGGGAGTAGAGATTCAGAGAGGTTACACTACAGACGGCTTCGCTGGGTCGATGCAGCTGGCCTGAAGCTGGCAATGCCAGTGACTTCCCTACCGGTGACCAAGGCGTTGATGTCATAAGTGCCTTCGAATGTGTAGATGGGTTCCAAATCACCGAAAGCCTGCAAGATGACCACAAAATGAATGCATTCAAAAGGTGACAGAAATAACTAAAAGGTGTACATATATAACAAACACCCTTCGCAAAAGAAACAGCCTCTCAATGGCACGTTTAAGATCCAACGCAATCAGATTCCTACACTAAAGGAGTCGATAGCAAACGTTACCTAATCCTTTACCGACAAAGGTAGGACAGAGGAATAGGTATACAAGTAATATGTTTTCCAATCCTTCCAAAGATTCTAAATATAAAATTTTAAATCCACAGATAAGCAGGAAATTGTTGGAAAATTAGTTATTAGTTTATTTTTGTTTATGGTTTTCTTGTGGGACAAGGATATTAGAATTTTTTATATCCTTTAAGGGTTAGGATTTAGGGTTTATTAGAGTTTTCTATATCCTTAAAGGATTAGGATTTTGCTTTAGTTTTCACTATATATAGTAGTGCTTGTATTAGTTAGTTTCAATCAATAAGTTAGTCACAATGTAATCTCTTAGGGTTTTGTAGCAGTTTCGGCATTCTCAGTTTATTTAATAATATTCTTATTATTTTGTTAATCTTGTTCGTTGCGCATTCTGATATTCAACTTGGTATCAGAGTTTGATCATTGGGATTTAATCTGTTCTTGATTAGTGTCAATTTGTTTGTATCAATTTTGTTTGTTAGTTTACTGGGTATTAGTTTCGTCCGTCGTCTTCCGCTCATCCGTAGTCAAAGCCGTTCTTGTCGCCACCACCGCACTGCAATCTGCCCAGATAACCCGCACCACCATCTCCACTGCTACATCCACATGTTCACGGTACCCGCACCGACTCCTACCAGTCGGATCTGTCACTCCCCTTCTGCAAGTTAACTTTGCACTAGAAGTTTTTTTTTGTTTGCTGCAATTGGTTTTGGAAGCCTTGTTTGCTGCAATTGGTTTTGCCAGAAGAAAGGCAGAGAGAAGGAAGGAAGAAAAAGAATAAGAGAAAAAAAAAAGAGTAGAAAAGAAAAAAAGGAAAAAATACGTTGTTTTTTTTGTTTGAAGGCCCACACGGGCAAGAAAGAAATATGGTTTGTTTGGCTTGTATTAGGAAGCCTGTTGTTGACCACCGCGACGATCGTTTGAGTGCTTAGATTGGAGACCACTCAAGTGACGTTGTGAACGTGGTGAATTGAATTTTGTTTTGTTTGTTTGGAAGTTGGAATTTGCATTGGCATTGGAATCTTGCAACGACATTGGCATCAACATCGGCATCGGCATCAACATCGGCATCGGCATCGGCATCGGCATCATTATCGGCATCGGCATCAGCAATGGAATGTGGAGTCTTGCGTCCACATCTACTTTAGCAAACTCATGTCTGTGTTCCGCCATGAGTTTGAAGGGGGGTGTTGGAAAATTAGTTATTAGTTTATTTTTGTTTATGGTTTTCTTGTGGGACAAGGATATTAGAATTTTCTATATCCTTTAAGGGTTAGGATTTAGGGTTTATTAGAGTTTTCTATATCCTTTAAGGATTATGATTTTGCTTTAGTTTTCACTATATATAGTAGTGCTTGTATTAGTTAGTTTCAATCAATAAGTTAGTCACAATGTAATCTCTTAGGGTTTTGTAGCAGTTTCGGCATTCTCAGTTTATTTAATAATATTCTTATTATTTTGTTAATCTTGTTCGTTGCGCATTCTGATATTCAACTTGGTATCAGAGTTTGATCATTTGGGATTTAATCTGTTCTTGATTAGTGTCAATTTGTTTGTATCAATTTTGTTTGTTAGTTTACTGGGTATTAGTTTCGTCCGTCGTCTTCCGCTCATCCGTAGTCAAAGCCGTTCTTGTCGCCACCACCGCACTGCAATCTGCCCAGATAACCCGCACCACCATCTCCACTGCTACATCCACATGTTCACGGTACCGCACCAACTCCTACCAGTCGGATCTGTCACTCCCCTTCTGTAGGTTAACTTTGCACTAGAAGTTTTTTTTTGTTTGCTGCAATTGGTTTTGGAAGCCTTGTTTGCTGCAATTGGTTTTGCCAGAAGAAAGGCAGAGAGAAGGAAGGAAGAAAAAGAATAAGAGAAAAAAAAAAGAGTAGAAAAGAAAAAAAGGAAAAAATACGTTGTTTTTTTTGTTTGAAGGCCCACACGGGCAAGAAAGAAATATGGTTTGTTTGGCTTGTATTAGGAAGCCTGTTGTTGACCACCGCGACGATCGTTTGAGTGCTTAGATTGGAGACCACTCAAGTGACGTTGTGAACGTGGTGAATTGAATTTTTGTTTGTTTGTTTGGAAGTTGGAATTTGCATTGGCATTGGAATCTTGCAACGACATTGGCATCAACATCGGCATCGGCATCAACATCGGCATCGGCATCGGCATCGGCATCATTATCGGCATCGGCATCAGCACTGGAATGTGGAGTCTTGCGTCCACATCTACTTTAACAAACTCATGTCTGTGTTCCGCCATGAGTTTGAAGGGGGGTGTTGGAAAATTAGTTATTAGTTTATTTTTGTTTATGGTTTTCTTGTGGGACAAGGATATTAGAATTTTCTATATCCTTTAAGGGTTAGGATTTAGGGTTTATTAGAGTTTTCTATATCCTTTAAGGATTATGATTTTGCTTTAGTTTTCACTATATATAGTAGTGCTTGTATTAGTTAGTTTCAATCAATAAGTTAGTCATAATGTAGTCTCTTAGGGTTTTGTAGCCGTTTCAGCATTCTCAGTTTGTTTAATAATATTCTTATTATTTTGTTAATCTTGTTCGTTGCGCATTCTGATATTCAACTTGGTATCAGAGTTTGATCATTTGGGATTTAATTTGTTCTTGATTAGTGTCAATTTGTTTGTATCAGTTTTGTTTGTTAGTTTACTGGGTATTAGTTTCGTCCGTCGTCTTCCACTCATCAGTAGTCAAAACCATTCTTGTCGCCACCACCACACTGCAATCTGCCCAGATAACCCGCACCACCATCTCCACTGCTACATCCACATGTTCACGGTACCCGCACCAACTCCTACCAGTCGGATCTGTCACTCCCCTTCTGCAGGTTAACTTTGCACTAGAAGTTTTTTTTTGTTTGCTGCAATTGGTTTTGGAAGCCTTGTTTGCTGCAATTGGTTTTGCCAGAAGAAAGGCAGAGAGAAGGAAGGAAGAAAAAGAATAAGAGAAAAAAAAAGAGTAGAAAAGAAAAAAAGGAAAAAATACGTTGTTTTTTTTTTGTTTGAAGGCCCACACGGGCAAGAAAGAAGTATGGTTTGTTTGGCTTGTATTAGGAAGCCTGTTGTTGACCACCGTGACGATCGTTTGAGTGCTTGGATTGGAGACCACTCAAGTGACGTTGTGAACGTGGTGAATTGAATTTCTGTTTGTTTGTTTGGAAGTTGGAATTTGCATTGGCATTAGAATCTTGCAACGACATTGGCATCAACATCGGCATCGGCATCAACATCGGCATCGGCATCGGCATCAGCATCGCCATCGGCATCGGCATCAGCACTGGAATTTGGAGTCTTGCGTCCACATCTACTTTGGCAAACTCATGTCTGTGTTCCGCCACGAGTTTGAAGGGGGGTGTTGGAAAATTAGTTATTAGTTTATTTTTGTTTATGGTTTTCTTGTGGGACAAGGATATTAGAATTTTCTATATCCTTTAAGGGTTAGGATTTAGGGTTTATTAGAGTTTTCTATATCCTTTAAGGATTATGATTTTGCTTTAGTTTTCACTATATATAGTAGTGCTTGTATTAGTTAGTTTCAATCAATAAGTTAGTCACAATATAGTCTCTTAAGGTTTTGTAGCTGTTTCGGCATTCTCAGTTTGTTTAATAATATTCTTATTATTTTATTAATCTTGTTCGTTGCGCATTCTGATATTCAACTTGGTATCAAAGTTTGATCCTTTGGGATTTAATCTGTTCTTGATTTTTGTCAATTTGTTTGTATCAGTTTTGTTTGTTAGTTTACTGGGTATTAGTTTCGTCCGTCGTCTTCCGCTCATCCGTAGTCAAAGTCGTTCTTGTCGCCACCATTGCACTGCAATCTGCCCAGATAACCCGCACCACCATCTCCACTGCTACATCCACATGTTCACGGTACCCGCACCGACTCCTACCAGTCGGATCTGTCACTCCCCTTCTGCAGGTTAACTTTGCACTAGAAGTTTTTTTTTGTTTGCTGCAATTGGTTTTGGAAGCCTTGTTTGCTGCAATTGGTTTTGCCAGAAGAAAGGCAGAGAGAAGGAAGGAAGAAAAAGAATAAGAGAAAAAAAAAGAGTAGAAAAGAAAAAAAGGAAAAAATACATTGTTTTTTTTGTTTGAAGGCCCACATGGGCAAGAAAGAAATATGGTTTGTTTGGCTTGTATTAGGAAGCCTGTTGTTGACCACCGCGACGATCGTTTGAGTGCTTAGATTGGAGACCACTCAAGTGACGTTGTGAACGTGGTGAATTGAATTTTTGTTTGTTTGTTTGGAAGTTGGAATTTGCATTGGCATTGGAATCTTGCAACGACATTAGCATCAACATCGGCATCGGCATCGGCATCGAAATCAGCACTGGAATTTGGAGTCTTGCGTCCACATCTACTTTGGCAAATTCATGTCTGTGTTCCGCCATGAGTTTGAAGAGGGGTGTTGGAAAATTAGTTATTAGTTTATTTTTGTTTATGGTTTTCTTGTGGGACAAGGATATTAGAATTTTCTATATCCTTTAAGGGTTAGGATTTAGGGTTTATTAGAGTTTTCTATATCCTTTAAGGATTATGATTTTGCTTTAGTTTTCACTATATATAGTAGTGCTTGTATTAGTTAGTTTCAATCAATAAGTTAGTCACAATGTAGTCTTTTAGGGTTTTGTAGCCGTTTCGGCATTCTTAGTTTGTTTAATAATATTCTTATTATTTTGTTAATCTTGTTCGTTGCGCATTTTGATATTCAACTGAAATTACATTTGCAACAAGAAAATCAGATAAGATTCCATTGCCACCGAGTAATTCCCTCCCTAGAGCAACCGTTTCCCTTGCCCTCAGAGTGATCCATGACTGAAAATTGCACCCACTTAGTATTTTGAATATTTTGAATGTATAAGCAATAGGATAGGTAATTGCATCAGGGTGTCATTTTTTTTGGGAGTTTTAACGAAAAACTAGCGGTATTATTGACTTTAACGAAAAAACACATTTTTATACTAAAAAGTCAAACTTGGTAGTATTCACTTTACCCTTTATTTTGTCCTTATCGTTAAAACTCAAAGTTTTCAAGCCATTTTCATTAGTTTTTCTTTTTTTCTTACCTTCCCCATGCTAGCATGACCTGGAGTCATTTTACCCGCCTCATACACCTTGCAGAGGCGCCTATAAGAACCATAGCTTGAACATTACCAAGCATACGGACAAGTTTCTCTTGGTTGATCTGGAAGGCTGCAAGAGGGCTCCAAATTGTTTCCTCTCCTTCCGATACCTTTCAAATCCGTATAATTTAGACTTAATACAGAGGAAACTTGAATTACGGTAAATGGAAGATGTGAGAGAGAGAGAGAGAGAGAGAGAGAGAGAGAGAGCAGCTTAGGCATGTTTTTATACCTGTGACACATATCATAGACCCCCATACATAAACCAATAGGTTGCCAGGCGACCATGACACGCGAAACAGCAAGAACCTGTATTCAGTTGTTTAAAGCAACATAAAATCAATAAATACTCATGAAGACAGCATTATACGTGTCGCTCTCACATGTGTGAGAAATGAGAGACCTTAGCACATCTGTTTTATATTAGGGCAACGGAATGAAAAACTTTGCTCCATGCTCCGTAGAAAGAAGATTCAGAGTTATACTTTGGGATAACGGCATTGCAGTATCAAGCCTTATCTCTCAAAAGGGGAAAAAAGAGATATTACAAAAACCAAGATGAATCTTTAGTCAAGCTTAAACATGTCTTGTTTATTAAACATAAGCTCGAATAAGAAGTAGAATTTATGCCTAAATTACTCTAAAGGGAGAAGAAGATTAAACAAATTGCAATAACGCAGCTTTGCAGCTTACCTTGTTAGTATCCTGAAAAGAATTAACACCAGGTAGCCTTTCCTCATCTGGAACAAATACTCTATTTAAGAGAATATCTCCATTTTGAACAATGCGTAAACCAATTTTATTTTCTATTTTTGTAGCTGTCAGTCCAGGGGCATTCTTCTTTACTATAAATCTGAAATAGAAGGAGGAAAAAAAAACATTCAACATGAGAGTGCTGCTACGGAAAACCATCATGCTAAATTTTGGATGCATCTAGGCATCTAAGGCCATCCCCAACTGATCCGGCCAGAGGGTCATAAGACAGAAAATAGCCCGAAATGACATGAAAACCATCACCAACCGAGGGCTAAGCCAAAGGGTCAAAAAAAAAGGAGAAAAGGACCAACCGGCTAGCCCAACCCAGCCAGCCTTGGGCCAGTCCAGTAATTTGAATGCAACGGCTAGTTGCTGACATCAGGGTGACGTCAACTAGCCGTTATATATATTATTTTTTTTACAAATTAATTCTAATTTTTTTCCTATAACTACATAAGCTATTAAACAACATTAAATAACATTAAACAATATTAAACTACCTTAAATAAATTTAAGTAACATTAAACAACCTTAAATAACTTTAAGTAACATTAAACAACATTAAAAAATATTAAACAACCTTAAATAACATTAAGTAACATTAAACAACATAAAACTTATACAACATGAAAAATAAAAAATAAAAAAAAACATTTAACATGGAACTTAAACAACATTAAAACAAACATTTAACAACATAAAACTTGAACGCCTATTCCATTAAAAAAAACATTAACAATCCATAATGTAAAATTATTGAGGTAATTTAATTTAAGTAACAATAGTAATTCAATTAAAATAATAAATTATGTTTGGTCCTATGGCCCTTTGGCCCCTTCGGTTGGAGATGGTTTTTTGTCACAGGGATATGTTTGGCCTATGACCCTCTAGCCCCTCGGTTGGAGATGGTAAGAAAAATGGTCTGACTGTTCGTTAAAATATTAATTTCTTGAAGGGCTATAGGGCCAAAGAGAGCCTTCTGACCCTACTTCAGTTGGAGATGGCCTAAACACCAAAGCAATTTGGAGGCAAGGAGAAACATAATCAGAAAGAAATAATCATAAATTCTGCATAGCTTTGAAGCTTAACAAACAAGTTTCGAACACATATTGAGAGGTTGTTCGCATGTTTATTTTTTTACATACCCATTAATCTGATTTGTTGTTGTATTCCTAGCAAAAATAATCAAGACATCAGCAAATGTACTGTTTCCTATCCATCGCTTTTGGCCTTCAAGTACCCAACCTCCTTCCACCTGATGATCCCAACAACACAAGAATACGTGATATAGCATGATCGGAGCCATGACACCCAAAAACCAAAAGAGCATGATAATACCATTTAACAGAAATAAAGAAGCAAATGAGAAGGTTGAAATCCTTGACCTTTGTTGCTGTCGCATCACTTCCATAGTCAGGCTCAGTCAAACCCTTTAACATGCAGATAAACAGATTTGAGTATCTTGACATTAGCATAAAAAGATATTAGATACAAATATCATAAAAGAGCATCTTACCCAGCAGGCGACAGTCTTAAATTCAGCCAAAGAAGGTAGATATTTCTGCTTTTGAGCCTCTGACCCACATAATGCTATTCTTGACAGTCCAGAAATATTAACACTGGTTATAAGTCTTGACTTGTCAACAACATCATTTTTTTCAGTGAAGGTTTGGTTATTTATAAAACAAAAGGTCAAAAATAAAATTATCCAAATTCTAACCAATAGTAAGCATTGCTGCTGAGGAATGAACCAAGAAGAAAGTAGAACAGCTTGCATCAACTCTAGCAATTTCAGCTGTAGCAAAAGCATTTGCCGTAATAGAAAGACCAGGACATCCAACAAATTATCGAACGCAAGATTTAAAAATAACTTATTAAGATATGTATTAAGCACCTTGACTGTCCCACCAGCAATGCGCAATGCACCAAGCTTTGGAATAATTTGAAATGGAAACTCTGCCTTCTCCCAATACTGAAAGAACAAGTTCGCAGATCAATCTCATTGTTTATGAATGTATATTAAATAATTAAATATTGACTGTTTTAGCCTTAATATGAAATGCAGAAATGGTTAGAGTAAAAGGGATGCCTCTGCCATAATTGGAGCAACGTCTTTCTCCATACACTCTCTTACTCGCAACCTAATAGCCTGCTCCTCTGGTGTCAATAGATCATCAATCTTGTAACAATCCGAAGCTGTAAATTTTTAAGGCCAAGAGATAAGAATATGGAAGTTAATTACTGAAGTTGCCCGTTTCTTCAAATTACAAATCAAAATCACAACAACTAAAGAGGTGCACGAGCAAGGTACTAAATATTCACAAAGAAACAAAGTAAAAACAAACCAGAATGCAAAAAGTGAGACAAGATGAATAAGCAAATCCGAAAAATTCGAATGAATAGTCTGGATTCACATAAGTTACATAACAAGAGGAAATCCTGAACTGTTTTACAAAAGACAATTTCTCTATAGACACACATACAAGTTTATCTATACGATATCTATTATATAATGATGGTTAATGTTCTTACTGCAGGGAGGAAAAGTAGAAGCCCGCGTTGCTTGCGGAAAAGTAACTGAGACATCCAATGCAGGGGAATTGAAGTAATTCGTCCTCTCATTATTCTTAACATCATCTGCGGGACACCAGCAAAACAATAGCAACCGTTAAACCGAGTTGAAAATTAGAAATCACAGCCACATACTCAGCTTATAACAATTGCAGAATGCCCAAATCAACAACCAGAAGCTTCAAGTTCAAACCAAGAGCTTAATTCCAAATGCTAACTCAAGAGTTAACCCACAAAATAAAAAATCGAAATTTCAGTATAATTTCCATCAAAGTTGTGATTGTAGACATCGAAATTTTGGTAAATAAATGTTGACCGATAAATCAAAGTTTCAACGCTCATGTATTACATAAATTTTATACGTAGCGTGTGTCTAAACAAAAAATCGAAATAAGTTGGAAAAGTCATCAAACAGGACACGTATCAACACCTGGCAGAAACGACTTATTTCATCTGGAATATTATATTCAAAATTAGGCCTTGGAAATTTCTATAAATAGAAGGCTAATTCATTCATTTGAGGGGAGGAATTCATATTACACCTTGAAGCTCTGAACCTCCGAAGCTCTCAAGCAAATCCCGAAGGATCAAGAAAGCCCTTTTCGTTCTTCATCAAATCCTCCTTCAAGATCAAGCCCCGACGGCCCTTGAAGAAAGTGTTCTTCGTTCTTTGTTCATCATTCTTCCAAGATCAAGCCCCGACGGCCCCTTGGATCAACAATCATCCACCTTCAAGATCAAGGCCCGACGGCCCTTGAAGAAAGTGTTCTTTGTTCTTCGTTCATCGTTCTTCTAAGATCAAGCCCCAACGGCCCCTTGGATCAACAACATCAACAAATCCACACGTCCAACCGTTCTTCAAGATCAAGCCCAAAAGCTCTTGGAGATCCGTTCATCACTGTTCTTCAAAGATCAAGCCCAAAAGCCCCTTTGAAGATCCGCTCAAATCCACCTTCAAGATCAAGTCCACGGCCCTTGAAGAACGTTCATCCTTAGATCAAGCCCAACGGCCCTTTGGATCAATCGCACATCCACAAATACACACCTTACGGAGATTGAATCAGAGGATCAAATTTAAGAGATATTGTAACCCAAAATCATCAAATACAAATATTTGTTTGTGCACGTTGTTCTTGTCTCTTTCGTTTCAGGAATTTTCCATGTTCACAGTGATCTTTCCAAGTTCTAAGAGATCCCATATGACTGTAATTTGTAAAAAAAATAGAATTGTTCAATCCATCATTTCTGATCGTTAAAAATTCATAAAATAAAAGCTAAAAAAATTGAACTAAAACCCAATAAAAAATAATCAAATAGCTGAATAGTTTACCCTGATACGGCGGAACTGTCATGGTGGTGAGGAGGAAAATTGGGAGCTCGGAGGTCGAGATAGCGATGAGGTTCCAAAGATAATAAAAAATGGTTGTGGCAATAGTTTCTAAAAAAAAAATTGTACATTAAATTAAATTAATAAATCAAATGAAAAATCACTAATAAAAGATGAAACGTTTAAGTAATATAATTTATTTATCAACTTTTATGTCATTTAGTTTACAAAATTTAGCATCGCATTACTTATTTTTCACTATGCGCCCGTATTAGCTATACCCCGTGTCACTGTATGAGTGGACGGAAGTTTTATCCTTATTTGTTTTTCAGAGAAATTGGTCGTTATAGAATTGTTGTTGAAATAGACTAAGCAATTGATTGTCGGGTACTGTCGGTCCATTTTAGTTTTTCCTATTTTTTGTCCGTTAGGTCTATTGGGCTTGTAGTATATTCCGTTTTACCCATTGGGCCTGTACTATTCTTGCTAATCATTTTTAATGATTTTTTTTTATTATTTATCTAAATGCTTTCTGAAATTGACACACATCTTCACTTTGGTTCTTGAGATTTGAAATTGATATAAGTAGTCATTGAGATTGTCCAACATCAATCATTTTGGTCATTCTATGAAAAATCAGCATTAAATAAGGATAACATGACAAAATACCCTCAATCTTGTCAAATCATTTTGCCCATTGTTTATTAACTTGAGAGTATTTTTGTAATTTTAGTCCTTATTTAACAGAATTTTCACAAAATGACTAAAATGATTGATGGTAAACAAACTGAGGGACTGCTTTTATCGATTTCAAATCTTAAATACCAAAATGAGAAGTTATCCAGTCTCAAATACCATTTTAGCTAAAAAGTTTTTATGAATGTGCATTACAACTTTTTCTTCTTATTTTCCTTTTGAGATCTATTATTGGCATATTAAAATTTAATTATGCACTTTTCGTAAGAGTTTTATCTTTCTAAATAAAAATTTAGTTCACAATTAAATTTTTAGAGTGTCAATAATAAATATCTTGTTTTTAAAAATTATTTATGTATAAATATTAAAAATATAATTGTGGGAATAAGGAGTGAATTCATTTTTAGGAGTCGAATAATGTCCCAAATGATTGGTACCTCGACAAGACCCACTACCACCCCCACTTCAAAGTTAGCTCTAGAAGTGGGCACAATAACCCATCAATTGATGATTTGAACTAGGTGACTAATTTGGTTTAGTTCGGTTTCCTTTATAAAATTTGCTCTAATGAGAATAAGTTGTTGATACATGACAAGTTATATTTTATAGACATAGGCGTAACGACTTTGAGTAAAATAAATGTGCTCCGTGTACCCAGTCGAGTGCTTTCTTGTAAATCAAATTAAATTACAATTCAATGTAAAAAATTGCTTGTATGAAAATAAAAAATAAAAAAAAGATATTGGTAATGCTTTCTTTTGCTTTCCGTGACGGCTTTTGGTGATGTCTACTTTCATCTACTCTATTTGTAATGGCTTTGTGTCAACCAAATGATGCAAAATGCAAGCAAACATGCCCAAAACGACTCCGTTTTGCCTTCTCTTCCAACGGCGGGATTGCCGAATGTGAAATAATCGCGACCGCGGAGGATACAAACCCCTTAAACAACGGCTAAGCACCTTTCCATTTATTTTTTTCATTTATTTTTCAATTTTTTTCATTGACTGATTCGAAATTTTTTACAGCTCTTTAAGAGTAGGAACGCCATCGGTATGAATATGATCACTGAAACAAACATAGAAAGTCTCCTCCGCTAGTCCAATCCAGCTGCTTCTGCAGAAAGCCAAAGATTTCAGCTGCAAATTCGAAATCGCGATGTTCGCCAAGCGGCTTTTGCAGAAAGCCATAAACAACTCTCAGGTAAAATCGTATTCCCAAGCATTCGATCGCCGCCATTTTTTTCTGCTTTTTTGGAAATTTTCAGTTTAGCTTCGTAATTTGCGTTTTTTTTTAAAATCAAAATTCCATTTCTTTTTTGTTGGGGTGGATTAAATTCCGATGCTTTATCTTGTTAGTATGCTGGAAAACTGGATATTGCATCAATGGATTATTTCTTATGATTTGTTTATTCATTTCTGTGTATTTTTATGCTCGAATACTTGGGTTGTATAAATTTGGAGCCTCTTGGTATCGACATTTGGACTGATACTTGCCCTTTTTTTTTAATTGGGATTTTGTATTGGAAATTGTTGGTTTCAGCATAATTTGTTCACAGCACAATTGTTGGTTTCAGCTCAAATTTCCTTGTGAGCCCTGTCTATCCCTTTTTTTTTTTCTCGCAAAGCTTCATCTAATAGTGCTCTGGCTATGCAGAATCTATGGAGAATTGGTGTTTTAGTAAGTCATTGACTAGATTTATTCATAACAACAACGATTATCAATAATCGCTTGGAAGTTTGTGAACTATTTAGCCCAAATGGGGGAAAAGAAAAAAAAATCAGTAAGATCAAAAAAGGAAAACAAAGCTCATCCAATGAAGACGTACACATAAAGGATGAAAGCCAAAAGCGAACGCCAAAGAAAAGTCATTTTCTCAAACCCATTTACATGCATTTCCTCACTTTCCCATTCCAATTTTCTGTAATTATTTCCAAGAACAACTAATTCTTTTCAAACTCCAATAAAAAAAAATAAAAAATTGTATGTAAATTTAAGTTGGGTTTGGACAGGTTATAACTAAAAAAATACTCAATTGTCCGAATTTTGAAATCGGATAAAGCATAGACAAGTTAGGATTGACCCAATCCAAGTTTCACCCCTAATTGAGATACAGATGCCAACATGATGCCATAACATATCTAATATATTAATTATGTTATACTATCAAAATCAGTGAGAAAAAACAAAAAAAAAGAAAGACTGACTTGACCTGTAAAGCTCTCTCTCCGTTGCTTCTCTCAATAGATCCCCACCAAAATACGGTTGCTTCTTCTCCTTAGCTGTTCTATTGTTCAAATCGAAACCCAGTTACCCAGCAGCCTTGCTGTTGTAGACGACGTAGCCAACACAGTTGCAGACGCCGGTCCACGGTGAGAGTCTCTCCCACCATAGTCTGATTATCCTTGAAAACGTATCCCGACAGTAGAATTCGCGTATCGAAAGCTTATCGACGACGTATCCAGAGGTCGACTGGTCAACGGATACGTTCAGATACGTATCCGATGCGTATTGGGCCGTATCGGGTGTGCTTGTCGTATCCCAAACCGTATCTGATACGGGATACGCCATAAAACCGGCGTGTCCGTGCTTCGTGGTGCGGACAAAGTCGTCTGACTCTTCCGTTCCTTATAAGCTGTGGACTAAGATTTCTTAATTTCTGTTGACTAATTATTAAGTTGGTCTATCGTAATTTCTCAAGTGCTTTTTCTTACATGTGATAAGATTTCTTAATTTCTGCAGACTAACTACTAATTTGGTCGATCTTAATTTCTGTGGCCATCCAATGTAAGTGCTTTTTCTTAGATGAGATAGGATTTCTTCTCTTTCGTGCTTTTGTGCAAATTAAACTTTGGTTTTCAGGTTTTCCATTCACGTACTATTCGTAATCTGGTTTTGTTGGAATGTGATTGATTACAAACATACATAGACATCCCTCTTATAGAGATTTTACAAAGACCAACACAAAACATAGGTGTTCAAAAGTCTTTGCACATACACACTTTTACACGCACCTTCAAACTTTTGTATACACACACATAGCTTTCGGCCATTACAGAAACATTGATAGCTATCAAAGTAAAAGACAAGTATAGCTGTTGAAAAACAAGGCAGCTATAGACAAAACAAGCCAACTATTCCACCAATTTCGGCCACTTTATTTTGATTTGACCTTCCAATACTTCCAATAGATTTCTTAATTTCTGTTGACTTACTACTAAGTTGGTCTATCTTAATTTCTGGGGACATCCAATCTCAAGTGTTATTTCTTACATGTGATAGGATTTCTTCTCTTTTGTGCTTTTGTGCAAATTAAACTTTGATTTTTTTGGTTCTCCATTTGTCTTTGAACAATGATGGAGCATTCACGTACTATTCGTAATCTGGTTTTGTTGAAATTCCTGCATGGCTTATTTCTCTTAGTCTTATGCATGATGAGCACATGTCCGGAATCTGCAGCATTTCCCAGCCCTACCCTGCTTGGAAACGAATCTGATCACTTGGCTTTGCTAGACTTCAAGAAAAGAATAACTGAAGATCCTCTCAGTGTCATGAGCTCGTGGAATCATTCCATCCACTTCTGCAGTTGGGTAGGCATTACATGCCACCGTGCCACCCAAAGAGTCTTGATTCTGGACCTGGAAGATAAACAACTGGTAGGCTCCATTCCACCTTCCATTGGAAATCTCACTCGTCTAATTGAAATAAGCTTGGGAATCAACGAGTTTCATGGAGAAATTCCTCAAGAATTGGGTCGACTACGTACCCTGGAAAGTCTCAACCTATCTTTCAACTCTTTAGGCGGGAAAATTCCGACTAATATGTCCCACTGTACACAACTGAGATTTTTGGATCTTTATTCCAATAAGATTATTGGGTCAATTCCACGCCAACTCAGTTCCTGGTTGAGTTTGACTGTTCTACAACTTGGAAAAAATAATCTTAGTGGAACCATCCCAGGTTGGATAGGAAATTTTTCTTCTTTAAGGAGTCTTAGACTTGCCCGCAACAATTTTCAAGGAAGCATACCAAATGAGCTCGGGCATATAACAACCTTGAAGATATTCCTCGTTGGGGAGAATAATTTGTCTGGTATGCTCCCTTCTTCAATTTATAATATTTCTTCCATATACAAGTTCGGTGTTGCTGTAAACCAAGTACATGGAGAGCTACCACCAAATCTCGGCATCTTGCTTCCTAATCTCATAGTATTTGAATGTTGTATAAACAATTTCACAGGAAATATTCCTGTATCATTGTCAAATGCTTCTAGACTTCAGAAGATTGAATTTTCTGTAAATGACTTCACGGGGACAGTCCCTGGAGAAAGTCTCGGAAGCTTGCGAAGCTTAATTTGGCTAAACTTTGCAGTCAATCGATTGGGAAATGGAAAACTTGGTGATTTGAGTTTTCTCAATTTCTTGACTAATTGTACTAGTCTTCAATATCTGGGTCTTGGCTATAATCGTTTTGGGGGAGAAATCCCGAGATCCATAGCCAACCTTTCGACCCAACTACAAGTTCTTGCTCTAGGGAGAAATTTGTTACATGGAAGCCTCCCAAATGGCATTGGAAATCTTATAAACCTTATGGTTCTAGATATGTCTAATAACTATTTGGCAGGTGTTGTCCCTGTAGAAATTGGGAAGCTTGAGAAGATAGGGAAACTGTATTTGTTTGATAACAAATTTTATGGGCCAATTCCATCTTCCCTGGGTAATATGACTTCATTGATAGATCTTTGCATGTACAGAAACAATTTTGAGGGAAGTATACCTCCAAGTCTTGGAAACTGCCAAAACCTTTTAGTACTTGCACTTCGGAATAACAATCTAACGGGCAGCATACCTCAAAAGCTTATGGAGCTTTCAGCCCTTTCAATTGGTTTGGACCTGTCTGAAAATTATTTGACCGGTTCACTGCCAAGTAATGTGGGTGATCTGGTGCATCTCACAGAAATAGATGTATCAAACAACAAGTTATCAGGTGAAATCCCCAGCACCATCGGCAGTTGTACTAGCTTGGGGCGCTTGTTCTTGGACGACAACAAATTTGAAGGAACAATTCCTCAGTCTCTTAAAGATTTAAAAGGCTTGGAAGTACTTGACATTTCAAGCAATAAGTTATCTGGGCAGATTCCTGAATTCATAGGCAAGCTTGGAGCACTTAAGTATCTCAATCTTTCGTATAATGATTTTGAAGGCGAGTTGCCTAAAGAAGGAATTTTTTCAAATGTCAGTGGTGTCTCAGTTCTTGGAAATCATAAGCTCTGTGATGGCACCCCACAATTACATTTGCCTGCATGCCCCAAAAATAAACATCATTCATCTCGAGGACTATTTTCCCTAAAAGTAGTCATCCCTATATCTTGTGCACTTGCATTCATAATTGCTCTATCATGCTTCCTTGGTGCTCGTTCAATGCTGAAAAACTCAAGTGATGGACTTGTAACTTCACGCTCTTATAAGGATTGGAAATTAGGTGTTTCCTACTCACAACTTGTTGAATCGACTAACGGTTTCTCTGTGGATAATTTGATTGGTTCGGGAAGTTTTGGTTCTGTTTATAAAGGGGTAATTCCTAACGATGGAACGGTAGTTGCTGTTAAGGTATTAAACCTTCAACAACAAGGAGCGTCCAAGAGTTTCAATGATGAATGCAAAGCTTTAAGAAGTGTCATGCACCGAAATCTTGTCAAGATCATAACTGCATGCTCGAGCATTGATAATCATGGTAAAGACTTCAAAAGTCTAGTCTTCGAGTTCATGCCAAATGGAAGTCTTGACTCGTGGTTGCATCCTAGAGATAAGGAGCAATCTCCAAGTAAGAGATTGAATTTTATGCAAAGATTGAACATAGCCATTGATGTTGCTTCTGCATTAGATTATCTCCACAACCATTGTGAAACGTCCATTGTTCATTGTGATCTAAAGCCGAGCAATGTACTTCTTGATGAAGACATGGTAGCCCATGTTGGGGACTTTGGTTTAGCAAGGTTCCTATTGGAAGCATCAAATGATCATTCCCTTAGTCAAATAATGTCATCGCAACTAAAGGGTTCTATAGGTTACATTCCTCCAGGTATGAGATTCCATCATTCTAATTTCATTTTTCGGTTCTTAATTATTAACTTATTACTAAAAACCAACTAATTAAATTCTATTTATTAAAGATATATTATTGACTCTTTTTACTAGAAACAAGTAACAATAATCTGAAATAAGATATCAATTTTAATAGTCCATTGCATGTGACATCTTATTGTCTATATGTATGTCACGGTAGAGTACGGCATGGGAGGCCAAGTTTCCATACTAGGAGATGTTTACAGCTACGGGATACTTTTGCTAGAAATGTTCACGGGAAAAACACCTACTGATGACATGTTCATCGAAGGTCTAAGCATTTACAAATTCGTAGCCATGGCTTTGCCCGACCATGTCATGGACGTTGTTGACCCTTCATTGCTCCTCGACCTCGAAGTTGATGGTAGTGTTAACGATGACAGATACGAAAAGACTGAGCTGCCCAGACGTAACAATCGCGGAGTCATGAAAGCAAAAAAGGTAGAGGAATGCTTGTTTGTTGTGATGCAGATAGGACTCTCTTGCTGTGCAATATCACCCAGGGAGCGAATGCTTCTGAATATGGTTGTCGGAAAAATGAGTACAATTAGAGACTCGTACCTCAAAGCTGAAGAAGGCTAAAGAATGACAAAGATATGATGCTTGTGGTTTTTCATTTCTTGTTTTTCTCTACTTTTCCTACCATCGCTTTGAACCTTGCCTCTTTTATGTTAACGATTGTTTTAAACGGAAGAAGTTTTCATTTGTATGACTTAAAGCTTTCAAATTCTTATTTGTGTAGAGCTATTTGTAGTTGTCTTGGTTATGTCAATCCTATTTAGAATCTGATAAACTCAATGCTTGAGTAGTTTAGAACATTTTAGTCACATATTTCTTCCCAGATGGTTGCATGTACTACACAAGTTTTGTTGGAATTTTTTCTTTTTATTTTTATTTTTTTTGTAGCATGTGGGTCATGGTTGTGACGAAGGATGAAAGATTGCTTCAAGGCACATATAAATATGATGTCTTTCATACTCTATTCGGCCCCATATACAGTGTGCAAAAAGGATATGCGACTAAGCCTTGTGGATACAGTTAAACCCGACGTTACGCCTATTGTTTGTCAAAGTTTTGCACACTCCTAAAACAAAGCTTAAACACTCAAAGAGATTGACAATAATGGTCATGATTTAACTAAAAACTAATACTGCAAATGTAGTTTTTAGGCTTTCATTATTTCAAATAATAGGAGTATAAAGATAATTCTCACTTTTTTTTTCTTCTCTCTAGCCTTGATATCGCTTACATGAATTTCTATATTGTGTCATGTTCTTTCTAAAACATTTGCTTGAGTTGAATTTATAGGCAAATGAATAAGCTAGTATAACTCAAAACCCCATTATTCCATTCATTTATGTTTTCCACAAATAAATTTATATTATTATATCCGATCATTCGCCTTTACAACATAAAATTAATAAATAAGAAAAACAAATTTTGTTATATGAAATTTTTTAAACAAACGATTATATTATTGAAAAAGTGGGTTAAGTCTTACATTTGACTAACAATAATATGGTTTAAATTTATTTTTAACGAGAGTCACACTAAAACCTCTCAACTAACAACTGATGATGAATATTATTAGATCATAATAGTAAGCAACAATTTTAATTGAAACTTTAAAAGTACAAATAAATAAAATAAAAAAACATTACCCCTATCCGATTCTCTCTCAGTCAGCCGAGCCCAACACCCCCAATCGCGCCGATCCCCTCTTACAGTAGCATCCTCTCATCCGAGTCCTCTCCAGCTATCTTCGGTAAGCTTTGCTCTTTTCGCTTCTCGTTCTTCCTCTCCAGTTTTCGCCTATGTAGAAAACTGCTGCTGTATTTTGATTATTTCCATCTAAAATTCAAATTTCTAGTTGAATGCGCATTCGATTACCTGTTTTAGGGTTCCTGTTCTGTTCAATTTATTAATGGTTTCATCTATTTTCACAGCATGTTTAATTCCCACAATTTTTTTTTCTGTGATGGGAATTAGGCAAACATCGCAAGCACCCAGAAGTTGAAAGAGTAATTAGAAATTAAAAAATTTGGATTTTTTGGGTTTTTTGGGTATTGGAGTTATGGGGTTTTTTGGGTATTGGATTTTTTTGGGTTTTATTATTTTTGTGCATAGTTGTAAAAGAGTTTGCAAATATTCGTAGTTGATCGATTAGTTGCATGATTTGTGAATATAAACATCCTGCAATTTGGAATGAAATTGTTAAAAAGTGTGCAGATTTGCAAATTGGTTGAGTGTCGAAACTTTTGAATGTGCATTAGCGTTATCAGTTGATGCAGGAGCATCTGAGGGGCACTCAAAAGCTAAGTCGGCTGCCAGCCAGCTAGGCTAGGATTCTAGTTAATTTGGGGATAGAGTTTTTAGCATTTTGATTCTGTTTCTACTGTGATTTGGCCCTGGACAGAAGCTTATTTTACAATGTTGTTGCAGGAACATGGCGAAGCATCATCCTGACTTGATTATGTGTCGGAAGCAACCTGGAATAGCTATTGGAAGGTTGTGTGAAAAGTGCGACGGTAAGTGTGTAATTTGTGACTCTTATGTGCGCCCTTGCACGCTTGTTCGGGTTTGCGATGAGTGCAACTATGGATCTTTCCAGGGAAGGTGTGTTATTTGTGGAGGGGTTGGAATTTCTGATGCTTATTACTGCAAAGAGTGTACTCAGCAGGAGAAAGATAGAGATGGCTGCCCGAAAATTGTGAATCTGGGAAGTGCCAAAACAGATCTGTTCTATGAACGCAAAAAGTATGGTTTCAAGAAAAGATGATAATTAGCAGGTCATGTTTTGCTTAGCTTCGGGAAATCATTTTGTTTTGTTCATCATTGAGGCTTAGCCAATATTACAATCAGGTATTTTTCTTAGGAAACTTGCCTTTTACTGCTTGTATGTTTGACTGTTGTACTTTCTCGTTCGATGTGTTTCCAACCTACTCTCATTCTGTGGCTAGTCTAGTTAAGGAATTAATGACTTCCATAATTCTAACTCGTAATCTTTGTATGTGGCATGCATCTATGGATGTTTGAACTCCTCGGTGTTCTTGGAGCTTTGTTAATCCAATTTCATATGTGATTTAAGATTCAGTAGATGAACTCGGCATTACCTTTTTATCTTCTACCGAAATTGTGAAATGGATGTATGAATTGGGGACTCCATGCTAAAGATTGCTCAGTAAGTCAACGCTATACTCTTTAAAATCTTTCAAAATCTCAATTGAATACACCCCGCTTATTGATTTTGGCTAGGTAGCGTTCCCCTGAGATTAGGGTAGTCAAAAGAACAGATCCCATTACTATGCGATTCAAAACTTATGGTCTACAAATGAAAACCTTTGTTAGATGATCCAGCCATTCAGATTTCGATCAAGCTCTATGGAATGTGAAGAGTCATATAAGTGTGAATTTACAAAAATATTATTCACTTCTCTTCTTAAGAACTTAGATCATTTGCGTGAGCGAGATTATTGGAAAACATGTATTTCAATATGTACGTATGTGCATAATACATTTTTAGTACATTAGAGTTGTTAAATGTATATTTCAACGAATCATTCTGACATGTACGACAAAGAGAAGAACACAAATTTACTAACGAGGATAAATAATTAACAAATAGTTTTATTGTTGGTCGCCACACAAGTTCAAACCTCATTGGATTTCCAACTTCATGCATAAAAGAATTGAGACTTGTTGAGTTGTTGAGTTGATAAGAAGAACCAAATTCGTTTTAAAACGATTGAAAGCGCTTTTAGATAAAATGTTTGGTTTTTTAGTTAAAACGGTCTCTGAGAATACCATGACTCCTCACTTTGGTTCCTGTGATTTATAATCGATAGAAATTGTCTATAAAATTGCTCATCGTCAATCATTATGGTCATTTCGTAAAAAATCTCCGTTAAACTGAGGGTAATTTTGTTAAACGAACCCCTCCACTTGAACTATTGATTTCTTCAATTTCCTTGATATTTTGCACAGAAAACCATAATTGCCGGTTGACAATCACATGAATTACTTTTATTGATTTTAAATATTGGGGACCATTTTGGTTAAAAAACCAATTCACTAAAAACGGTTTTAGTTATTTGAAATGCACCTCTAAATGAGTTTTTTTTTTATCTTTGTGCCACATAGAAGCCACCACAACCATCATTGGCTGGTCAAAAATGCCAATTGGCAACACCAGGATCTCTTAAAAGATGATCACTTGCAGCAATTGGACACGTTATGAACCAATTTTCTCAATTCAAGCAGTGAAGCAGCTTGTCTACTGAACATTTCTCATGGCAGATGTGGATGAAAATTTCTTCCTCCTTGTTCTTAGACAAAATTGCACCTACAAAATAAATAACACCTTAGGTCAAGACCAAGAGCCTTATGCGCCCATGATGAATGGGGGGTGCTTTGGCCGAATAACCTCCAATGCCAAAGTTAGAACTTAGAGAGAAAGTGTTTGGGAATTTTAGAGAATTTTAGCAAAAGTCTTGGGAGTCTCGTTTTGGAGAGAATGATGGGGTTTTTATAGGGGTGTAGCCGGCCCCTTTGGGAGAGAAATGACCGGCCACTTGGTTCATTTTGTGGGCTAGGTTCTTGATTTGTGTTTAATTGGGAATAATTGAACAATAAATTAATTAATTAGCTAATTAATAGAATAATTTCTTAATTGATTAGCTAATTAATATAATAAATGGGGAATGATTTGGAAGTTACTGTGGAGAGGATTTGATAAGGATGAATGAAAAGGTTTTGAATTATTACCTATTTTGTGTACATTTGACTTGGTTGAGGGTTGATTGCCTGCTTCTCGCACGTAGGCATCCCGGTATGTCTCGAGGGTAATTCTGTCATTTTAACCCAAAGATCCACATATTGCCTTATGATTATTTTTTGCTCCACAACAACCAATTTCTCTCATCACTAAAAGTTAAGGCAAATTTGTCACTTACCCTTCAACTGCACTGCAATCAGCAACCGCTTGGAGTTGCACCTGCACCCTACTTTATTATTTTCTCCCATCATCATACACGCTAGTGACTGGTTTAGTGACTAGGACTGGGAAACAAATTGAGATCAAGTTCAACTTAGTCTAACTAGGTATTGTTCTTCATTTGTAAGTTTGAGGTTCTGAGTTTGATTTACATTAATAGCAAGAACGTGTTATTTTTTGTGTTGAGTTTAATATCTAGTAAGTGGTTGACCCATTGTGTGACCTAAACTAGCCACTTAAATGCAGAATAATGTTGTATCCAAAAAGTCGTTTTAGCCCCCTCCCTTAGAATAGATTATCCCCTTTATATGAGTCTTTCATGCAACGGAAATGCTACCTCAAGTAAATTGTATACTATTATATGGAAGAACAATATGGTTAACCGCTATCCAACTCAATAGTGGTCTGTTTACTTACTAAGAACGAGAATGGAAAGTATGAGTATAATTTTCACTCCTGAAATCATGCGTTTACTAAAATGCAAGGAATAAAAAGGTAATGAAATCCATTGTTAACTCACATCCGAAAAGTAAGTAAGCGTGCCCTAATGTACAATTGAAAAAAGAGTTCCATCGTATCAAAATAGTCCAGTTCAAACCGAACCGCAACTGACAACTAAAACATCCCTTCTTCAGACTTCTTTTGTACTTTGCCGTTTAACAACTTCCCCAACTTGCACCAGTGCAAACATTGCCTATTTAGAGAGGATCTCGATAATCCTCCAATCACATCAGTTTATCAGTTTATCGTATATCATGACAAAATTTAACTGTACAATATACGATAAATTCCTATCTCTTTAGAAAGACATCCCTCCCCCTGAGGGTTTAAACTCCCCCACCCACCCATCCAAAAAAACCCAAAAACGATGACTTGGCTTCACGCAATCCCTCCACTTGGCAGCCTCGAGACGTGTTGCCCCATCATCCGGGCAGCCCCAAACCAAACCCCCCCCCGGGCGGTTCCCTCTCTAATGGCTACCTGCACACACCTCTCCGTCTGAGCCTCACCTCCTCTGGTTTCCTCTCTCTCTCTCTCTGAAAAAACAAAATTCATGAACCTTGCTCTCGCAGTATCCTCACCCATTAGCATTACTTGCCCACGAAGCAAATCAAAAACCAAAATCCCAAAAGAAATCCCCCACCTTTCGAATCCCACCTCCTATTTAATCCCACCCACCTTTCTGTTTTTCGTTGCCATTAAAGCCCCAGAAAGCTTTGCTGTTTTTGTTTTGGTTATGACAAACGGCTCTCACAGCGGCAATGCATCGAACACATTTGAGGCATTCTACGAGGGCTGGCCGGTCCGGTAAGAACACTTCCTCGATGAGCTCTTATCGGCCCAGCAGCAGACGATCGACGAGGCCCGAGATGAAGACCTCCGAGATTTGGTGTCTCGGGTTCTCTTCCATTACCAGCAGTATTACGATGAGAAATCGCGATTTGGACAGAGGGAAGTTTGACTGGTTTTCTCGCCAAAGTGGTATTACTTTAGTCTAAAGTAGGAAGGGAAATTACACTATTCATATGAACAGTGTTTTGTAAGACATTTCAGTTTATTTGCAAGACTGCCACTGGCTCTGTCCACTGAAATTTCAAGGTGATTTTCCAACCCAAAATTGATATATTCCATACCTTGATTTGATCTTAATTTATCTGGAATTGATCTGCATATGTGTAGTATAGATAATTTTATCTAATGTTATAGAATCCATGTCCTGTTCAGAAATTCTGAGATGGAAAAGGTTACGGAAAAATTGGAAGGTAGAAATTCCAATATGAGTTCTCCGGCCGATTTGAGGTGGGTAATACATACTTTTATGTTAAGTTGATTTGTTTTGGTTATTTGGGATGCTTAATTTCATCTGGAAACAACGCTGACCATCCAAAAGTTTCAATTTTATACCCATTATTCAATACTAGCTCAATAATCATCATGTTTCCTCTGACTTTGTTTGTGAATTCTGACATATAATCATATTTTAGAGTTTTCTATTGGGGAAACGTTAGGACCTGATTGTCCCACGTCGAAAAAATAGCAGCAGCGGGTCCTATTTAAAATTAATCTAATTGAAGAGACTAAGGACTGGGCACCTTCTACAAACTGCAGTACTACTATTAGAGGTCTATTTCATTTCCTCTCTGCTCTCTCAATCTTCATAACTTGTTTTTAGGCGCATTTTTTGTTTGGTTCTTATTTAAAATGAATCTAATTGAACAGGCTACATGCATGTTGATGCGTAAAATAACTAAACACACAAATTAAACCCTCTTTTTATCAATTGTAGTAAAGTATGTAAGTAGGGATCGTTCTAGGCCGGGGATTATGAGGGATTGCTAAATCACTTGGAAACTGACTTGAAAACGTGAAAACAAAGTTTAAAACACTAACTAGACTCAAAGAATGCAAAACTATACTTTAAAACACTAAAACAAACCAAAAGACTCAAAACAGCCCCTAAACACTCAAAACTACCTTAAAAACACAATCTGGGCAATTTTGGGACTCTCACACAAACTTGGACAAATTTTGGTTTTCTAATGAACTAAAACACTTAAAAACATAATCTAAGACAAGTTCTAATTAATATGACTCAAAGAAATAAGATGGGGTTGATTTTCGACGAAAATAATTAAATTAAGACAAGAACAAAGTAAACAAATTCTTAGACAAATTTGGGTGAATCAAAAACACTCTAACACACAACCAAAACAGAAATTAAACACTTTGAAACAATAAAGTAAAAGGGGGATTTTGGTTTTGATGAATTTGAAAACAAAAACAAACTTTTGTAAAACAAAACAGATTGTAAGTGAATTTGAATGAAACTTATGGATGGAAGATTAGCTAGGAGGTTCTTCTCCACATATGTCACACTTGCATACAAAACGATTTCCAGTTGCTTTTCGATAAGCTATGAATACTCAACGCCCCAAATTAACCGTGAATTGCACTAATTAACCCTCAGTTTTTTCCACAAGTTATTAGGTTGGATGATTGCATACGACAACCCAAAACATTCCCTACAAGTTCCCTACATGAATTGCATAATAGAGATACAAGCAAGAATCATTAAGTTCTATGAAAAACATAAGCATTGACGAGGCACTCGTTACTATGATTTGCATGAAACTTATGCCAAGAGTTTACTTAACGTGATTGTGACTAGCAACCTTCACTACTTGTGAATATAAGTTTATAACGATTAGGTGAAACTCCCTTATATTCTAGCGTCAAATTCATGCATGAAAATTAAGCGTGCACTCTTAACCAACATACACAAATTAGTTTTTATATGAACGGATAAGTAAATTGAATTCACAACTTATGAATCACAACTGGATGTAATCAAATCATATTGCAAGTATGAACATAGTTTCGAATCACCCCCTAACTAAGAGGGGTTTAGTTCCTCATACTCACAAAGCAAAGATACATAAAATTAGACATTAAAATCAAAGGAAAGAAAACACCTAAAATGCTCCAACTTGGTAGCAAGTGCATCCAAGATTCCTCCTTTCCCTTGCTTGCGGCAGATTGGGTTATGGACAGATTTTGGGTAGTTTTATGATGTAGAATGGATGGGGAATGGTATGGAAGGGTTTAGGGTGAGTGTGGAGGAGTGTTTGATGGTTGGAGGGTGGTGGAGAACTAGGCAAAGAGGGTGGAAGAAGGTGGAGTGGCTGTTATGTTTTCTAGGCACTAGAATGGTGTTTTTGGGGTGTTTTGCTTCCTAGGGTGTGTATGGACGAATTTTTGTGATAAAATGATGAATATGGGGGATTGTCCTTTGGCCAAGGGGTGTAAACATGTATTTATAGGCCCCAAAAACCTTAGAAAATCAGGTTAGGTTAAGGATGAAATGCATGGCAATTTGTGTGTGTGGTGTGCAATGGTCCAAGGGTGAACATGAAGTAATGATGCAAAGTGTGAAGGGTAAAATGGAGTGGTGTTGTAGCTAGGGAGCATGAATGATTGTGTACATTGCATAGAGATGGAAAGGGAGGTGAAATGTGTCAACAAATGGGTCAAAGGTGCAACAACATGTGTTGCACATGGCATTGGATTCCAAATGTGAATGATGGAGCATCAATTGGTGCATGTAATGGATGTAAATGTTGTCTAAAATCTAATGAGTGAAGGGAACAAGAGGTATCAAGCAATTGAGTGTAATAATTAAATGAATTGAAGCATGAAATTAGAAATTATGTAGGGGACAAGAGTGATCAAGCATGGCATGGAATCCAAAGGGAATTCTATGTGGTTTGCATGGCAAGGAATGCAAGTTGGGGTGACAGATTTTTGGGCTGTTTTCTTCATCTTTTGGACCATAATTCTTCATATTCTTGGCCTCTTTAGTTCTCAAATTCGTCCATCCACTTTGCCCATGCATTTGCTATCCATTCCAAGCCCGAAACATGCTCCAAAGGCCTCCAAAATGCATCTTCTTGCATACTTTGTACTTAGAGTCTGAAAACACACAAAAATAACTTTAAACACTAAAATAACTAAGGAAATACAACGTAAATGCACAAGAACAAGCTAACTAAGTCGCATAAATATGCTCCTATCACATGTATGTAAACATTTCTAATTGTTTTTAGAAATTGTTTTTAGAAATTAAAAACAATTAGAAAATGTTTACATGCATTTTTTGTTTACATTTCCTCTTTGCTCTCTCAATCTTCATAACTTGTTTTTAGGTGCATTTTTTGTTTGGTTCTTTTTCAAATTTTCAGTGCTTATGAGAATTATACTTCAATATCTTAGCTTTTTGTTTTTTTCTTCTTTGGCTGCTTAGAGATTATGGGTCACGAGCCTGGTTTTTAATAGTATAGCAAAAGTTTGCATCTTTTTGTAAGCTACGAATTCAGCTTTTGGGTTCCTTGAACTCAGGATTTATATATGTAACATTTCAGGACTCATGTTGGTGTGAAATTGTAATTCCTCGCCCCTCATTACATGTTTTGACGGGGATTTCAGCTCATGGAACATTAAACTCCATAAATTTGATAAAGTCTAATTTTACAGATGGTAAAATCTTGGATTGCCAATTGAGGATATAGGTGCAATTCAAATTCAGACTGCTTTCCTTGCACATGTTGGTATGTATGTGTGCACTAAAGTCTCCAAAATATAAATTTCCAGTTTCATTCTCTCCCTCAAGAACATTATTAGAAGAAATTAAAGATTATTTTTTGTTCAGAGTATGAGTGCTATATGTGTTTCTTTCATTGCTAAAATGTATGAGACATAATTTTGCAAAACTTAATTGATGACCGTATGAAGGCTATGAAAGAACTCTCCGAATAATTCTTTGAATCTGGTTCAGTTTTGTCTTAGATATGCATACAATCATTATTTGTGAGATAATTAGTTGCAGGGCTGGCTTTTAGCTGTTTGTTGTTGATAAATTACATATGGTTCTTAAGGAATTATATATGATTTGTGAGGTTTGAGGTCAACATCAATATCCATGGCCTGTCACAATCCCCCATTGTACCATATGGCCATAAATTTTGGCAAAATTATGATTCATTTAACTACTTCTTTTTGTCTTTGTTTGATCTTTGTTTCACTGTGTTTTGCAGCTCATGGAATACTTTTCCCAAACTTAAGAGACTTAATCAGTAAGCGAGTGAACGACATAAGTTTCTAAATTACAGGTTAGTTATCCATTTTTGAAAATCATGTGCTGAGTAGTTGATAAATGTTATGTTATTTGAAAGTTCTTATTGTTGTGATTGTGTTGTGCTTGCTGTGATTTGCTTAGCTTAATTATAAATTAAGGGTGGTTGAAAAATTAGATATTTTATTCATGCATGTTTTTTCCTTTCTTCCCAGCATTCAATTTGTTGTCCAGGGTTTCAGTTTTATTCATCTTAGCGTCATTCACTGTATTTAATTTGGTTTTGTTCTTTAAATAGACTAACCATTTTTACCATTTTGCTGTTTGTGCAGAGAGGAGATATCCCATTACAAGGAACTCAATCCAACAGAACTCAGTCCAAAAGAACATTTGCTACTCTTAAAAGCATTATGTGGACTCCAAGCTCAAGTTAGTCCCTAATTTTCATGTATTTTTTATTTCTTTATGTCTAGGTGGTCTACATGGGTTTTAACCATGAAATCACCTAACTTTATGTTTGCAATTGTGTTGTTTCTGATTGTTGATATCAATTGAAACACTATTATTTAGGTTATTAGATTTTATGCCATAAGAGTATGTTAATGTATTCATTTTAGTAACTACCACTTGCTTTGATACATTGTAAACGCTATTTATGTGACAAGAAAATAATCTTATTTGCCGTTTAATAAAACTGTTTAGTCATTGGAAAAACTGTTTGTTTAATGTGTTCAACATGTTGTAATATTTTAATGTTGGAAACCATTGGCTGTGAATCTTTCGGAAGAAATTAGCCCCATGAAGTAATAAAACAAGGTCATTTATGGAGGAATGAGATTGAATTGTTTGCTTTGCTCAAGCAATTCTGTTTAGATTAATGGATGTTATAGTGCATTTTGAAACCTAAGTAAGTTATGGATTCGTTTTTGTAGCGAATCTCAAATAATCATTATGCGAAAGAATGATCTCTTAGTTTCAATTTAAATAATTCTGGAAAGTTAGAGATCTGTTGAGCATGTTGGAAATTCAGAGTAGTAGCACTTTTGCATGCTACACACTACGACCTATAGTTCCTTTAATATTTTTGAACCAATGATATTACATTTGTTATATCTGTTTGGTTCCCTATTTCTATAGTTATAGATGTGATTAGTGTGCATTTGATTTTGCTTGGTTGGGGTATAGGTTTAGTTGAAATAGTATTGGTTTATTAATGTTCTTTTCCCTTCCAGCAGTGCCCATTTCCACCCAAATTGAATCTCAAGTTCTTCTGCTTTTGAAGACGGCGCATGTTCGGCCAACAGTATATTTTCCATCACTTTTTTATTCAGAAATATTGTAAGCTGTTTGATTAATTGAATTTGTATTTTTGTTTTTGTACATTTGACAAGATCATCAACAAGGAAATACCGAATAAGGTGGTTTTGAAGACGATAAGGTGCTCCCTACTGTGTTTCTTCTCAGTTTCAATTTCTTATTCATTTTTGAATTGAGCTTTACCAGTATTTACTTTTTTTTCCTTATGAAGTTTGGATTTTTGAGTAATGGGTTTTGTTAATAAATTTTAGGAATTAATTCTTAATCAATAGTAAGTGAATTGAGAGTGGAGAGCTGGCATGGTTGGGATTAATTCTTAATCAATAATAGGTGAATTAATTCTTAATCAAACTAATCTCTCTACTAAACAACAGCCCATATTGGCCGACGACAGAGATTTAGTATGCAAAGTCGGCGAAGCTGGTGAGGTTTCCAAGGACGTCACCAATTTCGTGAAGTTGCTGGAGAAAATTTGGAAAAGTTCAATGCTTTCTTTATGGAGAAGGAGGAGTAGTACGTTAGTAGATGGAAGGTATAATTTCTTGATTTTCTTTATAAAATTATCGACAATTACAATTGGGATTCTAGAATTATGAGACTTTGTTTAGGAATTGAGAGATTGACTTGCTGCTTGTGAATTCGGAAAATTTATGGTTTTTTGTATGATAATTTTGGTTTAGGATATCGAAAGATTGTGTCTTTGATGTATAATATTGAATTTGGATGAAATTTATTAGATTTTGCCTTTTTTTTTAGGCCATTGTATGTATTAAGTTTGTAATTAGGAACTGTTTTGTATGGTTTTCTGTATTCGTAATTGTTCAGCATATTAAAAAATAGGGTTTTTATTTGCTGTGTTGATTTTAATGTACTGTATTCATAATTGTTTATTTTGTAAGGGAAATGCGGGATATGATAGAGATGTAAGCAATTTCAAATCTTCATCTATCCCATTTCCACTCTGTTCAATTCAATTTGATTTAGCATTATTTTCGTTGCTTTTGAGGAAACCAAATTAAAAGTGCCTTTCGATCTTTGTATATCATGCTTATGTTCTCTTTTATTGGGAGACTGATTTACTGTTTTAAATTGGTTCAATTCTCTTATATTTGGCCTTTTTGTTGGTTCTGAAAAAACGAAATGACATGTGGATTTCTGTCTTCTATATCACGTTTATGTTGAAATGTTATACTTACCAAAACCACATGTTGAAATGTTGGACCGGTAAACGTTTTTCGTTATTCTGTTTTCAGGACTTCGTTAACCTAGAAGTCAACCCGCCGATGCCAAATTAGAAGGGAAGTGAAGATGTGAGGTAATTTTTTATGTTGACAATTAATTTATCGAGTTTTAGATGACGATCACATTTTATATCCATATTTACTATTTCATGGTTTATAGATGTGGTTTGATTTTGATCGCTGGATGAGAAATCAAGTTTGTCTGCGACTTGGTTTTGTTTGTTTTAAAATATATGCTGGTGTGCCTGTTTCTTTTTAAATTTTCTATGTTTATCTTATTTGTAGAGTTAAATAGCTGATGAATCTTTATCAATGAAGCAGTTGGAATGCTTTTGTTGAATGTGAATGATCATTGTCTAGGGGAAACATTATAATACAAAGCTGTAACTTGAGTTTTGGAGTGAAACTCGAAAAAGCTTTAGCACTAAATATTATCATGTATGAATGTCATTATAATTTATAGCTGTAACTTGAGGTTTTGGAGTGAAACTTGAAAGAGCTTTAGTACAAGATACTATTGTGTATGAATGTGATACTGGATCTTACTATACACTGCGAATAAGTAATAAGAGATGGTGAGCCCGTTTTAAGTGTGATTTGTCTTCAGAAACTCAAATTTTGACATTTTTGTATATATTGGTGGAAATGTAGAGATGGGTGCTCTTTGCTGCTGTCCTTGCGGTGAGGAATTCGAAGAATATGTGCTTCGGAGCAATCCATTATAATATTGCTTATTCCTGAGATACTTCTTCCAGCAGCTATTCACTGGGGTAGGTATAAAAGCCATGATCAACTCAATACTCTCTCGGTTCTTCTGTTCAGGAACTCTCCTAGGAAATTTACGTAGTTTTTTTTTATCGGATGCATTTGGTTATATCAATGTTTTAGATTTATTGTCTGAAAAGAAAGGGCAGTGAATCATAAATTGGCATGTCAGTTGGAAACTAAGGAGCCTGATGCAACTAAACAAATCCATCTACATTACTTCTAAAAAATTGTAATGTTAATGATGCGTACAAAGTAAACTGTTTGAAAGCATCTATCACTTTTAATTTTGGGCCAACATACTTGAATAGAAAGACGTTAAAATTTATTTTTAAATGAAAATTTTCTTTCCAAAATGCTTAAGCTTTTATGAAGGTAATCCCCATAAGATCCATGGGTTTGATTCACTTTAGTTTTTATAATGGGATATTTTGGATGCGGTCCCTAATCCTTAACATTCTTTGATTAAAACCTTAATATTATTCAAAGTTTGATCAAGGTCCCTTGACTTTGTACACCTCATTATATTACTATTAATATTTATATTTTTATAGTTTTGTTAATTATTTGATATTTTATGAGATTTATAATCCTATAAATTTAAAATCCCTCATTATAATACTATTAGAAACGGTTACAATAAAAAAATTCAAACATTTTAATTGAATAAATGGATAAAAAATATGTAAAAATAAGAAATAATAAATGGCAAAAGAATGTATCCATAGTGTTAAAAAAATTGGTACATTTTACAAAAAAATTGGTACATTTCACATATAACAAAGTGGTACATTAATAAAGAAGAATGGGTACATTAGAAATAAATTAGGGTACAAATAAAAGATTAAAATTTATTAATACAAATGAATTTTTAAAAATATAGGCGCTAAAAGAAATTAGTACATGGGTACAAAATAAAACTAAAAAGAAAATACTACAAATTAAAAAAAAAATGTTGCAAATTAAAAGTGGGTACAAATTGAAAATATAAATATATGATACAAAGTTTAGGCATAAAACATAAATATACCATATGTAATTTTTCTATTATTGATTAAATATACAATGTCACGTGACGGTATACACATGGGTACAAACACAAATAAAACTTTAAAAAATATGGGCACAAAAAGGAACTAATATATGGGTACAAATTAAAAATGAAAAGAAAATTGGTACAAATTAAAAAATATTTGCAAATTAAAAATAGGTACAAACTAAAAATAAAATTATATGATAACAAAATTTAGCTATAAATATAAATATACTAATTGTAACATTTTTAACATTAAAGGAATATATTTAAAAATAAAAATATTTTATTATTCAAATAATTAATGATGTTATTAATACCCAAGGACCTTGATCAAAAATTGAAAATGAATAGGATTTTAATCAATGAAGTAACAAAAAGAAGAATGTGAACCTAATTTTCCCTTTTATAATTCTTATTTGTTAGCATTTCCTCATGTTCATGCAGTACAGTGCACCTTTCCAAAGGTTTGATGGACGATTACCTTCATTACTTATTCAAGGGGCCACTTTGGCATCATCTTGAGTAGGTACAGCACTACAGAATAATCCCTTGAATAATACTCAGCTCTCAGTTTCCAAGCCAACCCCCTTTGATGTTGATCAGAGATACTCGCGTTTGCAACGTGATGGCTTGGTCTCTAGGCGTGAGATCACTGACTCTTTTGCAACAAAATCCAACTTTTCTGTGAATTTAGAATATAATAAGAGAACAAGTAAAATACGACATATTGTTTACAAAATCAGGACTTGATGAACAAAATTTAAACAAAATTTACTCTTAAAGTTTCAGCTACTAACACTTCAAATTTTTTAACACAAAAGGTAATCTCTTACTCCCATTGATTAACAGAGACAAAATTATATTGATAAATTATTATTACTTCCACTGATTAAGAGAGTAAAACAAAACTTTGTAAATGTCTACAAAATGAAACAAATACCTTTCACATACTCCCATTGGAAAAACATTAGTCATGGGATCTAGAACATAAAATTTGTGAGCTCAACATCTTTATTCTAGATATCTGTAAGGAAGTGACTTTTATGACTGAAAAACTATACAAAATCATTTGGTTAGTTTTGTTCATCTAACATTTGACAGAAATAGAAAACTTTAACTAAATGTTTTCTTATCGCATCAAAAGCATATAATTCCATAATCATCTTTGGACAGAAACTAATTATGTTAGGTTTGCATAGCTAAAACATAAAATACAAGGGTAAACTTATATAGCTTCAACACTTTTGAGCAGATGAAGTATATACAATCTTGTCAATTTCATGTTTCACTATACATTGATTTATAGTTGTACTGAATAAGAAAACACTTTTGAGTAGATTAATTATTCCAAACTAACATATAAATCACAACTCCAATTTCTTGAACAACAAACAAGAATTAATAAGCAAAACACTTTTAAGCAGAATATACTCATTAATCCTTCTAGAATTTCTTTCAAGATTAGTTGCATATATAAAATATAAACAAGTATGATAATGTACGTTCTATCTACCAAAACTATGACCATTAAAAGCATGCAAAATTGATGAGTGTGAAGCCCATAATACATTCTTTCTCCCACTTGGGCAAACACTCAAAATTGCAAGATTAAACATCAGAGAAAGTGGTTTTCATATAACAAAATATAGGCTAATTGAATCAATAAAAATCAAATACATATATATATATATATATATATATATTTTAATAGGTTCGAATTAAAAGTTCCATAAATAAAAAAAATAAAAAAAATAAAAAACTTATGCAATGACTACAAATTTTATTTTATTTTAGTGTACGAGAGAAGACTCACATATTTGTGAAAGATTAGGTCATCAATTAAAAATGAAACCTAATATGAGAATTCAAACTCAAAATTTATGTTTTAATTCTAAAACAAAGTCGATTAAAATAAACACTTAGATATCTCAATAACATCAATTTTTCAACAATAATTTTAATCCAATTTAGAACTCAGAGAAAATTAAGACAAAAGATTGGTAAATTTACCTACTCATTCTCGATTCTGCAAGATTCATCATGGAAGTAGTCGAGTTGTGGAGGATCAAACCAAAAGCAAATTGCATGATTGTTACACCTTTGGGCAAAAACTAATCATGCAAAGAAAATACCTGCATAGCTAGCCAAAACATAAAATACACAAAATACATATAGCTTCAACAGCTTTGGCCAGATGAACATATGTTAAAAGTATTTTATGATTTGCTATAATACTAATTTATAATTGGTGAGTGATTTCCTGAAATTCCCATTGGGAAAAAAGTATTTACCATATAAATTAGAATTTTGATTTTTCAAAATAATCTTTTAGAGCAGTATTAAATAACCGTTTTGTTGGATATTCAATGATTCTCAAAAGATTCAATCAGACACAAAAAGTATGTCGTTGTTTGACATTGAACAATAGAGTTCTCGAAAGAGGAAACATGGTTATTCAGTTATTCGATAGGGACCAAAATGATCAATTAGTAAACTGATGCCACTTTCCAATTTTTGTCTCAAAAGACAATGATCATCATAATTAAAATTGATGACCAAACAAAACATTGGTTTGTGCAAAATAAACCAATACACTTTTCAACCAAAATTTAATCAGTGTTGACTAATAAAAGTCATTAGAATTGAGAATTTGCATTGAAAACCAGGACATATTAGAGCAAATAAACATGTCAAACAATTGGTACTATTGAATATGCACAAATTAGTGAAAACAATATTGCATAACATAACTAGTTTTTGAAGTACCAAAAATTCAGCAATACCACTGTAGTTTGCAAATTCACTAAAAACTCAATTCTCTTTAGATTGTCATGAAAATTTTTAGGTATGAACTAGACATATATGACTACTGTTTTGCAAAATTTCATGATTTTTAAAATTTTATAAGCGAGCCAAAAATGAATTCGAAAAGAGAGGTGCTGCAGAAACTACAGAAAATCTGCAGTACATACCTAAGATTAAAATTCACCAAATATTCATTTTTCATCCGATATGCATGAAACTTTTCAGACAATAAGTAATTATACAAATCTGTTAATTCCCAATATTTCATAATTTTTGACACTTTACAAGTGTACTAAAAGAAAATATGAAATGGGATGTGCTGCAGAAACGACAAAAATTCTGCAGTACATACCGGAGACTAAATAAGTCACCAAAAAATTCAATTTTTCTCCAATGCGCATGAAAATTTCCCGAAATGAAGTAGACATATAAATTTATTGTCACCCAAAATTCCATAATTTGTTCGATTCTACAAGTGGGCTAAAAATAAAATCGAAATGGAATGTGCTGCAGAAGCCGCATAAATTCATTGTCACCCAAAACTTCACCAATAATTCATTTTCAGACCACTGCTCGTGAAAATTTCCAGATTTAAAATAAACATCTTAATATATATCATAATAAAATTTCATGAATTTAGGAGTTGCAGAAGTACGTCAAAATAATATCACAAACAGACTTTGCTGCTGAAGTCTGCAGAATTCCAGCAGCGTGGTATCACCTTTAACACTTTACTATAAATTTATTTGATGTCCCAAAACGTGAAAAATTGCAGTATATACAATCTATTCTGAACTACAAGAAAACAATTACATAAGGTTAGGAGTTACGAAAGTCTCTATAAAAATAGGATGTTTATCAGGCCCAGGTTAGTGACATGAATGGTTTTCCTTTTCATGTGAGTTTCTTGCCTTTCAACATATCCTATTTTTGACTTATAAATACTTCTATTGATTTCTCACTCAAAATATAGCAAAACACATTAAACTTAAGTTGAATCCACTAAACCGCAAGCAAGGCGTCAGTTGACGTGAATCATAACATGTCATAAGTATTCATAATTTGTCATAGGTCATACCAAACATGTACTTATCGCAAAACAAGAGAATGCAAAAGATTTACTTGCAAACGAAGTCGTTGAAGAAATTCTCCAAAATCTCAATTGTGTGTATTTGAGAAATTTCTCAAAAAACAAAGTCTCAGCTAACGCAATTTTATGTTTGAAGATGAAGGTCACAAAGGACAAACTTTGCAAACATGAACTGAAATCAAACAAATTCTGATTTCTGAAGAGGGGTGTTTACAGGCATAACGATAGAGGGAAGCGTAAACATCAACTTAATTAACATGTATGGGAAAGTCAATTTGCAAAACCAATGTGAAAAACATAGCAAGCATTTATATTCAAATTAGTTAAACCAATCAACTAATACGCCTAAGTGGCCATACCATTATTCTTGTACTCCATTACTCAAAATTTATGCAGCAAACTGGAATAAACGAAATTAAATGTAATTGGAGAAAATCATCGAAAGCTCATTCTAGGCATTAGGAATTGAAGGCCCAGAAAACTTACTTGTGAACAGGATAGATATATAGCTCAAGCTCCTCAGGATCACAATGGCTCACCCAAATTATATGGTATTACTTGAAATTAAAATACGAAAGGCCCATTGTAAAAGGCTCCTTCAACCAGATTTATTCAATCATGCAGTCTTAAGACAATATATATAGTCAAAATGCAATAAGCTTAAAGTCATGCGGCAATCCTTGTTTGCAACAGAGTTAATGTATTATGGAAAATGAGCAGAAGCAAGAAGACAAACCCCAATTTATCTCCTAGCAGGGAGTAATTCTCAACTGGGTTTTGATGATGTGCGAGGAAGCAAAACCTGAATAACGGCTCGATAAATAATAACTGGATGGTGGCTCACTTAGAAATTTGAAATTAGCTATCACAGTCGAGCTCGCGGAAGAGAACACAGTCAAGAAAACATGTCAGGGAGAAAATTCTTTACTCCTTCTCCAGATATGAATCAGAAACCAGTCATAAATTTATCATATCATAATTGACTAATAAAACATTTCGTTTCAATTGCTTCACTGAAAGTGTAATTTTCAACCAAAAGGGACCACAAATCCATGACGTTATTCTGGATTGGTGTTCCACTCAATATCAAACGATGCTGGGATTTCAATTGAACTCCTGCAGATTGTATTATCTACACCCTGCACCGTATATAAAGTTTCTGCACCAAACTTATTAGCCATAATATATGCTTCTTTATGATGAATAACATCGCAGCACACGGTCATCATACATACAACTATATTAAGTCATGAAAGAATAAGAACAACGGAAGCAAAATAGGATGATTTGAATTATCCATAACGATGCAGTTATTTGAATTGGATTCTAGTCATGTTGTTTGGCTCTGATACCACATGTAAGGTGGACTAATACAACATGGTTCTAGGATCACAATTTAACATGCATCATGATAATTACAAGAAGAAGATGAATGATACTAACCTGCACCGATTGGAGACATGGTGGCTTGAGCTCACAGGTTGTCTTCTACTTCCAGTACTTCAAAATGTCTCTCTACCATGAATAGGGTTTGGCGTGATTGAGAGTACAAGCGTATGGAAGTAGGGACTTAACCGTGATATTTATATCGTTAGGGTTTTTAACACACCCGACCTATCATTGCCTGTGAAGATTGACCCTATCTCTTTAGTGTTTAAGTCCCACCATGATTCTACATCTTCGTAATAAAATCTATCAGATTTCCTCTAGGTTAATTGCAAGGGATAAGACTCCATAATCCTTATTATGTTAGGACTATTGGATCACTTTGGCGGCTAACAACTTGATAGACAAGTGGCTTACAACAAAATGATTCAATACAACATTCATTGTCATTCACAATCTTACATACGTGATATAGCATGATCGGAGCCATGACACCCAAAAACCAAAAGAGCATGATAATACCATTTAACAGAAATATAGAAGCAAATGAGAAGGTTGAAATCCTTGACCTCTGTCGCTGTCGCTCTCAAGGCACTCGCATCACTTCCATAGTCAGGCTCAGTCAAACCCTTTAACATGCAGATAAACAGATTTGAGTATCTTGACATTAGCATAAAAAGATATTAGATACGAATATCATACAAGAGCATCTTACCCAGCAGGCGACAGTCCTAAATTCAGCCAAAGAAGGTAGATATTGTTGTGTGAGTTGGTTTTAGAATAGGAATGTAAATATTGTGTAAATATTAGAGTCCTTTATTAGGAAGGATATTTCTTATGTCCTTTTTTGGTTTACCTTAGAGAACAAGGATTGTATGTATTATATTCTCAATTATGCAATACATGAAAATTTAAGCCGTAAAATTCTATTTGGCATCAGAGCCAACCGTAACCCTAAGGCTCCCACCGTACCGCTGCTACAGTGAAACCAGGAAAAAAAAATACAAAAATATCCGGCAAGTCTGGTCTCTGCCGCATCCTGCAGCAAGCCAAGACTGCTGCCCGTGTGTGCTGTATTATTACTATCGAAGGGGAACAACACTCACAGCAGGTCTTCAGTTGGTGTCGCTGCATCCCTGCAGCAAACCTGATTGTGTGCTGTGTACGTATGTGTATTGTGATGTGCCGAGAAGGATTTGCTGCTAGTGTTGATAATAAAAAAAGGGATTGGCTGCTGCTTGAATTGCAGCGTGCAGTCCAATAATTTTTTGTCTTTGAAGTGCTGCTGCTTGTTTTTCCTTGCAGCGTGTGGTTCTATAATTGGTGTGGTGTTGTGATTGCCGTGTATTAGTGTCTCGTGAGTTATTACAATGGTGAATATAGGTTGGATTTTGGATTCCGGTGCAATAGATCATATGACGTATGATAAAACTTTATTTCAATCTATGACACGTCCTCATAGAAAGTATGTGGCAACTGCCAATGGTTCTACTACTGTTGTTGTTGGAGCGGGAACAGTGTCTCTTACACCCTCTCTCCCCTTACATAATTGTTTATTGGTTCCATCATTGTCCCATCACTTATTGTCTGTACCTCAAGTCACTGAACAATTGGATTGTGTTGTATTAATGTATCCTTCATTTTGCTTGCTTCAGGATATTCAGATAAATGAGATCATTGGGCGTGGCACTAAGAGAGGGGCTATATTATGTGGATGACATGGTTCCTGGAAGAGCTAATTTGGTTCGTGTATCACGTAATAGTAATCTACAGAAGGTATTGTTATTGCATCGTCGTTTGGGGCATGCATCGTTTGGTTATTTGAAACATATATTACCTGATTTGTTCAGTGGTATTGAAGACTCAAAATTGAAATGTGAAGTATGTATTCTAGCCAAAAGTCATCGTGCTTCATTCCCTCCGAGTATGAATAGAACATCTTCTCCATTTGCGCTAGTACACTCTGATGTGTGGGGCCTTCCCCCATTAGTACTACTTCGGGAATTAAACGGTTTATTACATTTGTTGATGATTGCACTCGTATGACATGGGTTTAACTGTTGAAACATAAAAGTGATGTTAGTATGATTATTCGGTCTTTCTCTCAGATGGTGGCTACACAATATTCCTCCGTTATTCAGGTTCTTCGTTCTGATAACGGGGGTGAATATGTTAACTCTGAGCTTTCTTCTTTTTTCCGAGATCAAGGAATTCTCCATGAGACCACTTGTCCTTATACCCCGCAACAAAATGGGGTGGCTGAAAGGAAGAACCGTCATATTTTGGAAATTGCTCGTGCATTGCTTATTGGCGCATCCATACCTAAGAGTTTTTGGCCGGACGCCGTTACGTATGCCGTGTATGTCATCAATCACATGCCATCTCGAGTTGTAGAATTTCGTACTCCACTCCAAGTTCTGACAGAACATGTTCTGGTTGTCTCTACCAACACTCTTACTCCTCGAGTGTTTGGTTGCGTTGCTTATGTTCATATCCATAAGATTCATCGTAGTAAATTGGATCCTTGTGCTCTTCGGTGTGTTTTTCTTTGCTTTGCATCCCAACAGAAAGGTTATAAATGCTATCACCTTGAGACCCGCCACATGTACGTCACCATAGATGTGACCTTCTTTGAATCCAAGTATTTTTATAGTCCCGTAATCCCACCTTCCGATCACAAGGGGGAGAGTGTTATTTGTGATCTTGATGGTGTGTTTGGGTGGTTGGATGTCCAAGACGTGCATCCTTCAGGGGGAGATGACAATACCGTGCCAAGGGAGGAATCACAAGATGACAATACCGTACCAAGGGAGGAAGCAGGGTCTCGGCTGCTTCCTGCCGAAGATGATATAGATGGGCAACCACTGATTGCCGCCGAGGAAACTTGTACCGAGAACCTATGTGTTTTAGATGGTGTTCAGCCACCTACTACCGAGGCTGAGCCAGCCTTACCACAAGCATCTGCTGAAGCTAGCAACCATGATATTTGTACCGAAGCTTCCCCCCTCTCTCTAGCTCAATCGTGCCATCGTCCAATACGTCTTCTCTGAATATCCCTGAGGTAAGTGCTAGTGATACTCATGTAACTAATGATGTTATAAGTACATATAAACTGCCACCAAGGCAAAATCATGGTGTACCTCCTGACAGGTTCTCCAGAAGGAGAAGGAAAGTATCCAATAGCAAACTATGTGTCGTGTGAAAACCTTTCACCTGAACGTCAAGCTTGGGTGAACAATATGGAGTCAATTCAAGTGCCAACTCGAGTAGAGGAAGCTTTGAAGAGTCGAGAATGGGTGGAAGCAATGGATGAAGAGATGAAGGCACTACAGAAAAATAATACATGGGAAGTAGTGGAGTTGCCGAAAAGGAAGAAGCCAGTTGGGTGCCGATGGGTTTTTACAATTAAATACAAAGCTGATGGTTCACTCGACAGGTATAAGGCGCGGTTGGTAGCAAAAGGATATACTCAAACGTATGGTGTTGATTACTAGGAAACTTTTTCTCCAGTAGCTAAGATGAACACGGTACGAGTTCTAATCTCATTAGCTGCGAATTTGAATTGGCCATTGAAACAGTTTGATGTAAAAAATGCATTTCTTCATGGACATTTGGAGGAGGAAGTGTACATGGATTTTCCTCCAGGATATGATAATAAAGGAAAAAAGGGAGTGTGCCGATTGCGGAAGTCTCTTTATGGGCTAAAGCAGTCACCTCGTGCATGGTTTGGAAGATTCACTCAGACCATGAGAAAGAATGGGTATTATCAGAGTCATTCTAATCATACTCTATTTGTGAAACGGAGGATTGGTAAAGTAACAGCCTTAATTATTTATATGGATGATATGATAATAATAGGGGATGATTCAGATGAGATTGTCAAATTGGAGAAGAACCTTGCGGCCGAGTTCGAGATGAAGAGTTTGGGTGACTTAAAAGTATTTTCTGAGAGTTGAGGTTGCTCGTTCGTCCAAAGGTATTTTCTTGTCTCAAAGGAAGTATGTTCTTGATTTGTTAAGGGAAACAGATATGCTTGGGTGTAAACCTGTGGATACGCCTATTGTGGAGAAACATCACTTAGGGATTTATTCAAATCAAGAACCAGTGGATAAAGGCAGATATCAGAGGCTGGTGGGAAGACTACTTTATTTAGCTCATATCCGTTCAAATATAGCCTATGCAGTGAGTGTGGTGAGTCAATTTATGCACTCACCAAGTGTGGATCATATGGCTGCTGTTATGCGTATCTTGGCGTATTTAAAGTCAGCCCCAGGGAAAGGAATCTTGTATAGAAATTCTGGTCATCTAAAAATTGAGGGGTTCACTGATGCTGATTAGGTTGGTGATGTGACTGATATGCGTTCTACTTCTGGATATTTTACTTTCGTTGGTGGAAATTTGGTTACTTGGAGGAGTAAGAAACAGAATGTGGTGTCTAGGTCTTCTGCAAAGGCTGAATTCAGAGGTATGGCACATGGAGTGTGTGAAGTTCTTTGGTTGCGTAAGTTGCTTTGGGGTCTTGGTTTCAAAACAAATGAGGCTATAACGTTGTATTGTGACAATAAGTCTGCACGAGAAATTGCAAAGAACCCGGTACAACATGACAGAACGAAGCATGTGGAGGTTGATCGACATTTCATTAAGGAAAAGCTTGAGAAGAAGATTGTGTCAATACCATTTGTGAACTCAGAAGAGCAGCTTGCCGATATCCTCACTCATGCCGTGTGTAGTAGAGTTTTTGGTAACTCACTTGTCAAGTTGGGCATGTGTGACATCTATGCTCCAACTTGAGGGGGAGTGTTGCGTGAGTTGGTTTTAGAATAGGAATGTAAATATTGTGTAAATATTAAAGTCCTTTATTAGGAAGGATAATTCTTACGTCCTTTTTTGGTTTACCTTGGAGAATAAAGATTGTATGTATTATATTCTCAATTATGCAATACATGAAAATTTAAGCCGTAAAATTCTATTGATATTACTTCTTTTGAGCCTCCGACCCACATAATGCTATTCTTGACAGTCCAGAAATGTTACACTAGTTATAAGTCTTGACTTGTCAACAACATCATTTTTCAGTGAAGGTTTGGTTATTTATAAAACAAAAGGTCAAAAATAAAATTATCCAAATTCTAACCAATAGTAAGCATTGCTAGTGAGGAATGAACCAAGAAGAAAGTAGAACAGCTTGCATCAATTCTAGCAATTTCAGCTGTAGCAAAAGCATTTGCCGTAATAGAAAGACCGGACACCCATAACCCTGATAGAAAGAAGGCCAAAAGCGAAATAACCAACCCATCCAACAAATTATCAAACACAAGAGTTAAAAATAACTTATTAAGATATGTATTAAGCACCTTGATTGTCCCACCAGCAATGCGCAATGCACCAAGCTTTGGAATAATTTGAAATGGAAACTCTGCCTTCTCCCAGTACTGAAACAACAAGTTCGCAGATCAATCTCATTGTTTATGAATGTATATTAAATAATAGGTTAATCTCTGTTTACTACCCTAAAGTTTCGTGGTTTTCAACATTTAATTTTCATCCCAGAGTCATACCTCAAGTCTTAAATTTGGGACTGTTTCATACATCCATTAGTTAAATTGTTAAGTTTGCCATTAACTGATGACGTGGCGTCCATGTAGACAATGACTGGACGCCTCACGTGGAAATTAAAAATAAATTATTTATAAAAAAATAAAATAATTAATTAATTAAAAAAAAAAAATCCCTTCTTCCCCCAAATCCCACCTGTGCCCACCCTCTCACCCTCCCTTCTCTTCCTCCGCACCCAGTGCTCCAACTGCGTCTCAAGAAGTTGCAAAGGTACTAGCAGCAGCACCGCTACCGGTCATCGATTCGGCGTCTTCCACCGTCACCAACTCCGAATCCGAAGACAACCCATCATCGTCGTGGCCTAATCCTGAATTCCCAGTTCGTTCTCCTTTCTTCGCCATCACCAACTCCTGCTCCAAACCGTCATCTTCCTCATCTCAAAACCCAACCCCATCGCCTCCACTGCCTCCACCCCTCACCCACCGACACCATTCCCCTTTCCCTGATACCCACCCCTACCACCAAGCCTTTTCTCCTTCTCCAAAAACCCAGCCTCATCTGTCCTCCTCAACTCGCTTCATCTCGCTCAAAAATGAAAACCCAGTTCCCAATTCCCCCCAAATCTACAGCACCACCAGGGCTTTCAGGCGGCCTTCCAAGTACGAGTTCCATATCTGCGACGTGGGGACCCACATGGTACGCCTCCATTTCCAGACCTTTAATTCTTTGAAAATGGATTGGAATGATGCTCCATTTCCATACCTTTAATTGTTTGAAAATGGGTTTGTGGCTTTGACCGACTTTAGAGCTGCGAAAATCCCCATGGTTATGAAGTTTTTGACCTAGGTCGATACAAAAAGCTTGTAATCGAGGGAGGATAGAAGAGGGAGGCCGACATTTGGGGTTTTTTCTCCTAGCTCGTCATCCGCACCTCCGTCACCCACGTCATCTCTGCCCACATCACCGATCACCTCCTCCACCGAGTAATTTCCCATCCCTCTCACCGGCGTGGGTATGTGTCGATGGAACTGAAGGTGGCGATGGTGAAGAACGAAATGGGGATTCTAGGGAGAAAGGAAGAGAAGAAAAGAAGAAGAAGAAGAAGGAGAGATAAAAAAAAAATCCACGTCACCTCTGAAGAGAAGAAAGAAAGAAAAATCCACGTGGACATCTTAATGACATGTGGCATCCAATCATTGTCCACATGGACGCTACGTCATCACTTAACGGGAGACTTAACAGTTTGACTAACGGATGTATGAGATTGTCCCAAAATTTACATTTTAGGTATGACTCTGGAACGAAAAAAAATTGATGTACTAAATGTTGAAAACCACGAAACAGTAGTAAATTGATATTTACCCTTAAAAAATTTAACATCGACTTTTATAGCCTTGATATGAAATGCAGAAATGGTTAGAGTAAAAGGGATACCTCTGCCATAATTGGAGCAACGTCTTTCTCCGTACACTCTCTTACTCGCAACCTAATAGCCTGCTCCTCAGCTGTCAATAGATCATCAATCTGGTAATAATCCGAAGCTGTAAATTTTTAAGGCCAAAAGAAAAGAATATGGAAGTTAATTACTGAAGTTGCCCGTTTCTGCAAATTACAAATCAAAATCACAACAACTAATGAGGTGCACGAGCAGTGTACTAAATATTCACAAAGAAACAAAGTAAAAACAAACCAGAATGCAAAAAGTATGACAAGATGAATACGCAAATCCGAAAAATTCGAATCAATAGTCTGGATTCACATAAGTTACATTACAAGAGGAAATCCTGAACTGTTTTACAAAGACAATTTCTCCATGGACACACATACAACATAAGTGGTCCTGAGATTGTCCACCTTCTATCATTTTGGTCATTCTATAAAAAATCTCCATTAAATAAAGATAACATGACAAAAATACTCTCAATTCTTGTCAAATCATTTTGACCAATTGTTCATTAACTTGAGAGTATTTTTATCATTTTAGTCCTTATTTAACAGAATTTTCACAAAATGACTAAAATGATTGATGGTGGACAAACTCATTGCTTTTATCGATTTCAAATCTCAAATACCAAAATGAAAAGTTATGTCAATCTCAAAAATCATTTTAGTTAAAAAGTCTTTTTTGAATGTGCATTAGAAACTTTTTCTTCTTATTTTCTTTTTGAAATCTATTATTGGCACTTTAAAATTTAATTCTACACTTTTCGTAAGAGTATTTATCTTTCCAGACAAAATTTGTAAAATGTATAATTAGATTTTTAAAATGTCAATAATAAATATCTTGTTTTTAAAAGTTATTTATGTATATATGCTAAAAATAAAATTGTAGGATAAGGAGTGATTTCTTATTTAGGAGTCGAATAATGTCCCAAATGATTAGTACCTCGACACGACCCACTACCACCCCTACTTCAAAGTTAGCTCTAGAAGTGGGCACAATAACCCATCAATTGGTGATTCTAACCAAGCGAGCGATTTGGTTCAGTTCGATTTCCTTTATAAAATTTGCTCTAATGAGAATAAGTTGTTGATACATGATGAGTTTTGTTTTGTAGACATAAACATAACCACTTTGAGTAAAAAATAAATGTGCTCTTGTACTCAGTCGAGTGCTTTCTTGCAGATCAAATTAAATTACAATTCATAATAAAAAGTTGCTTGTATGAAAAGAAAAAAAAGAAGATATTGCTAATGCTTTCTTTTGCTTTCAGTGACGCTTTTGGTGATGTCTACTTTCATCTACTACATTTGTAATGACTTTGAGTCAACCAAATGATGCAAAATGCAAGCAAACATGCCCAAAACGACTCCGTTTTGCCTTCGTTGTCGTTTTGCCTTTGCTTCCAACGAAGGGATTGCTGACTGCGTACCGAATGTGAAATAATCGCGACCGCAGAGGATACAACCCCCATAAACAACGGCTAAGCACCTTTTTATTTATTTATTTTCATTTAATTTCAATTGTTGTCATTGACTGATTCGAAATTTTTACAACTCTTAAGGCCATGTTTACATAACCGGAATGGAATATGAAGAAACGGATTTGCACTTTTTTCGAGGCATTCACCCGTTTACCAAACACTTCAGTAATCGGAAACAAGGTAGAGCTCACACAAAATCAGGAATTGAACTCCTGAATCTCCAAATCCCCTCCATAGAGGTGGTATTTGGATTCCGTGGAGAAGCCTCCATCAGGAATTCGACTTTTCTACCCAAACTAACCCTGTCCTTATGCCTTTCAGCAGAGGCCGATGCCTTTCAGCAGAGGCCGACTCCTGCTCAATCCCGTCCACCGGCGATGACGGGGCTCAAGCTGACTGGTTCAGGATGGGTTTCGAAGATGTAACTGGTGAAGAACAGGTTGTCATTGGCGACAATTGGGGAAGGAAGGAGGTTCGCTCCGACATCGAGCGCCAACCCAACCCGTCATGCTCGCCATCTTTTGGGGATGGTAAGAAGATTATCAGGGAGCAAGGATGACGGGGAAGAAGATGGAGAAAGGAAAATAAAAAAAATAATTGGGGATGAGAAGGAAGGAGGTTCTGGAAGAAATAGAGAGAAGAGATGAAAAAAGAATTTGGCATGATAAAGAAAGAGTATGAAAATAATTTATTTATGTAAGGGTAATATAATAATAAACTTAGTTTTCATTCCGATTGAAGTGAATTAGTAAACATTTTATATGAACTCAACATAATTCCTACTCCGATTTCAAACAGTTTTAGTAAACAACTTCAACAGGAATCTGATTCTGATTCCACCTTATTTCAATTCCTCTTTAATCAAATTCCTTCTCAATTCAATTCCTCTCAATTTGATTACGGATTAGTAAACGCGCTAAGAGTAGAAACGCCATCGGTATGATCACTGAAACAAACATAGAAAGTCTCCTCCGCTAGTCCAATCCACCTGCTTTTGCAGAAAGCCAAAGATTTCAGCTGCAAATTCGAATTCGCGATCTTCGCCAAGCGGCTTTTGCAGAAAGCCATAAACAACTCTCAGGTAAAATCGTATTCCCAAGCATTCGATCGCCGCCACTTTTTTCTGTTATATTTTTTTCGAATTTTTCAGTTTAGCTTCGTAATTTGCGTTTTTTGGTTAAAATTCCATTTCTTTTTTGTTGGGGTGGATTAAATTCCGATGCTTTATCTTGTTAGTATCCTGGAAAATTGGATATTGCATCAATGGATTATTTTTTATGATTTTTTTTATTCATTTCAGTGTATTTTATGCTCGAATACTTGGATTGTATGAATTTGGAGCCTCTTGGTATCGACATTTGGACTGATACTTACCCATTTTTTTTTAATTGGGATTTTGTATTGGAAATTGTTGGTTTCAGCATAATTTGCCACACGGGAGTTTGACGGCGGAAGACTTGGACCTGCGAGTTGCAGTTCACTATGACATCCCATCCACGGCGTCCATTCTTGCTTTCGACCCGATTCAGCGCCTTTTGGCCATTGGAACATTGTGAGTTAAAATGCACCTACTTTCTTCTTTCTTTTTTGTTTGGAAGAGCTTTCAGGCAACGTATGTGCACCATCAGCATGGCAAACATTTTCATTAAACATTTCTATTCCATTTGCAGTGTCAGAAGTATGATCTTCTTGTATTCCCTGATTTCTTTTGCTATTTATAGTTCTTTTTCGCATCATGTGCAAAAAAATTGTAAATGCCAAACTATAGATTGATAGCTGGGAAGAAAATAATGAAGTTAAATTTTAAATTTTTCATCACACCTAAATTGTAATTAAATAAAGCAAATACATATATCATATCACAACCACAGAAGCAAGAATTTTAAAATGCTACAAGATTTAAATACTATGCATAATTTTTTTTTAGAAAGAGTAAAAAACTAACCTGTCACAGCAGCTATTAATCACTCCCAAAAGAAGATGCTCAAAATCTGGACAACAGGACCTATCCAAAGTAACATAAGAAAAAGCTGATGGAAAATATGCATAAATTGGCTTCAATAAAGTCAAATCTAAACAAATGTGTAAATTGAAACTCTGATTTCAATCCGCCAAAATTTTCAAATTGCTTACCTTGATTACAGAGGACTTGGGAAGACAACGGCGTTCGAGTCTGAAAACAAAACCCCCATAATCATAAAATAACAACAAAAGAATTAAAAACCAAATTAAATAAAATAAATTACTGCAAATTAACATGAATTAAAAAAAAAAAGATATTTTATCTGACAAAAGCTCAAATTTCCTTGTGAGCCCTGTCTATCCCAATTTTTTTTTTTCGCAAAGCCTCATCTAATAGTGCTCTGGCTTTGGAGAATTGGTGTTTTAGTAAGTCATTGACTAAATTTATTCACAACAACAACGATTATCGATAATCGCTCAGAAGTTTGAGAACTATTTAGCCCAAATGGGGAAAAGAAAAAAAAATCAACAAAATCAAAAAAGGAAAACAAAGCTCATCCAGTGAAGACATACACATAAAGGATGAAAGCCAAAAGCGAATGCCAAAGAAAAGGCATTTTCTCAAACCCATTTGCATGCATTTCCTCGCTTTCCCATTTCCCTTTTCCAATTTTCTGTAATTATTTCCAAGAACAACTAATTCTTTTCAAACTCCAATCAAGAAAAATAAAAAATTGTATGTAAATTTAAGCTTTACCTGTAGATTAGCAACAACAAAAGCAAATTGATTCCAACGATCTGGAGAAATTTGGGTTTTAAGGATTTGAGTTAACTGAAATTGATTGGGTTTTTTGTTTCGATTCATAGTGCAGCACGAATGAAGAGGTGGAGAAGTACGGAACGAAATGGTGAGAAAATTTGGTTGAGCGGTATTCTGTATCAATTCCAAGTGGAAGAGGAAGGAAACGGTGCAGAGGAGAGGAATGAAGCGGTGCTGCAAATCTCCCTAGCATGCCATGCGTGGAAAACCTTTTTCCATATACACGTCTGCCTGTAGGGCAATTTGGGAATTTCATTGTAAAAGCGCAAAAAGTGGGAACACAGGATCATTAAAATAAAGGAAAACTAACGAAAAGTTCAAAAAACTTCACTTTGAACGAAAAACCATTTTTAAAGGTATAATGAATAGTGACAGTTAAAAGTAAAAATGTGATTTTTCGTTAAAAGTGAACAGTACCGGGAGCGTTTTGTTAAAACTCCCTTAAAATAAGGGCAAAAATGTCCAAACATTGTTGCTTAGAACAGTGTTTTTCTCATTTTGCTTTAGTAAATGGCTTTTTATAGAGAGTTACTAGACTCACCCTACAATCCTATTTTCCCACCCCATCTTATTTTCCCACCCCACTCAAAAGGTAAAAATGAAAAACACTCTTTTCCCACCCACTGATATTCCTAAACTATCCCTTACAAAGAAAATTAGCCACCGCCACAAGTTCACCCACTTGACGGCAAGCAACCTCCTTCTCACAGTCAGCCAACCATGTCTCTAATTTAATCAAGACTATGAGGATGAGCAACATCCTCGGTCAACCTCGTAGTCGCTCTCTCCAATTACAACTCAAGTAGAGGACTAATCGTAGAATAGGGGTATCAAAACCACGTCAATTAGATGAACTGAGCACAGTTCCACACGGATTGCCAAAACTATAAATGGGTATGAGAGAAAAAGAGTAAGGTGTCTTAAGGTAATTATAATGGGTCTATGGTGTTTGATGAAGATTTCGAATGGATGGGAAGGACTTGACATAAGAGATGAGGAAAACGGTGGATTCAACTTGGTTGGTGCCGTGTGCGGTGGTTTCAACTTGTTAGGCTCATGTTTTTGTTCCTTCTATTTTTAGAATTTAATACAAAAATAAAATAATAAAATAATAAAATAGTTAAAGATGGCCTTATAAGTCATTTTGCAAAAGGTTAGAGTTGTCATTAAAAGTATCATTAAAAAGTGGGTGGAGAAATAGTGTTGGTGGGTGGGTATATCTATATCATCTCTCTTTTTATATTAGCACCTCAAAAAATATTGAATGCACCCTATATTAAATTTTAATACTAAATGATTTATATATCCTACTATGCAATAACAATTTTGATCTTATTAGGTTTTAAAAAAATAAAAAATTTATAAATACACCACAAATCACTTTTATTATTTATCTTCATCAATTATCAAAACTCCTCCAACTCTTCATTTTTTTTATGGTTATTTTCAACAAGGTTTATCTAACAAAATAGAAAGTACAGAGCATTAAGGAAGCTTGAATACTTCAAATAGGATGAACACAGATATCCAATAGCTATAAAATTTGTTAGCAAACCATAATTTTTCATACGAAAAATGCCTACAAATTGGTAAGAGCTTTTGGTTTCATTACACGAGCCAAATATTGCTTCGTAAGATACTACATCAAAGCACAACTTAAAAGTTCACATGTATAAAAATCACCATCTAAAATTAATAGGCTACACAGGCAAGCCCTTGCCTGAACAACAGAGTAGAACGAAAAATAAAATCATAAGACGTTTAATTTCTAAGACGTTAGAGCATGATTTGGATGGTGAAGCAGTAAACTTGAGTCACAGTTCAATGAGCCAACTAAGCCGTTTAAAAATGAACGAAAAACAACAGAGTAGAACGAAATACAAAATCATAAGACATTTAAAAATGAGTGTTATAAGATTTGAAAAATGTGGGGTGTATGGAGAAAATGTGAAGTGTATGTTGAGAATGTGGGGTATGAGGGTATTATGGGGAAGTATGTGGGTGTATTAAGATAATTTTTAATTAAAAAAGCAAATGTAGGGTGTATTAAGTAGTGAGGTTTATTCAACAATACGTGGGGTGTTAATATAATAAGCTTTTGTATATTTAAATTTCAACAAAACATTCTGACGTGTACGAGAAACGGAAGCACATGAATACACTTATGGGGATGAATAATTAACAAATCGTTTTATTGTTGGTCATGACACAAGTTCAACCTCCTTGGATTTTCCACTTCGTGTATATAAAATTAAGAGACTTGTTGAGTTATTTAGGTGATAAGAAGGGGTAAGATCATCTCTGGATCCTCGGCTAAGGATCCTTTCTGCTCGCAATTGGTGTAGAACTCGTAACCCTTGCCCTCGTGACCAGCATGCCCTTCTTCCTCTCGCCGCCATCGACAAGTAGGCGAGGATCATATCGGCCACCAGCAGGCCAGTCTTTATCCGTTTGTTCGGAGTCGCAGCGGTAGGGTGGTTTCCTCCTAATCGGCGTTGGAGGTCCCCAGGAATTTCAATTGCGCTTATATTCATCACCGTAGGAATTGGGTTCAAGCTTTCCCTAACCCCTTCTCATCAATGGACTCCTGACGTATACGAAGGAGTGCGGTTTGTTCCATAATTTCCTACCTCTCTATCTCTGAGATGTTTGGATTTTTCAAAAACTCCATGAACATGCAGAAGAGAAATGCTATCCCCACTCGGACCAAGACATAATTTTTACTTGTTCAAATAACAATTAAGGTGAAGTAGGATCAGGAACAACGAATCTCTTTATTGCGTCGATGAATTCTCAGTGAGTGAGACCCAAGAGTTCTTCTCCGTCTTTGATTTCCAAGAAGAAGAGGAAGGGAAAGAAAGATGTCTGACCGGAGGATTTGAATCAAACGGCCAAGATAACTTGGTCCTCAGAATTTGAAGCACACAGATCCGGAGAGAAATCTTACCCGATAAGAACCAATTTTTTAACTCCCATGCCACGTAGTAGCCACCACAAGCATCATTGGCTGGTAAAAAATGCCAATTGGCAACACCAACATCTGCTAAAGGATTATCACTTGCAGCAACACGTCATGAACCAATTTTCTCTATTCAAGCAGCGCAACAGCTTGTTTGCTGAACGTTTCTCATGCCAACCAAATTCTCTCATCACTAAAAGTCAAGGCAAATTTGTCGCCTACCCTTCAACTTCACTGCTACCAGCAATCACTTGGAGGCTGCACCCCCACTTTATTTTCTCATGCCAACCAAATTCTCTCGTCACTAAAAGTCAAGGCAAATTTGTCGCCTACCCTTCAACTTCACTGCTACCGGAAATCAACTATCTGCAACCCCATTTTATTATTTTGTCCCATCATCACACACACTAGTGGCTAGTTTAATGACAGGGACTGAAACATAATGAGATCAAGATCAAGTTCAAGTTAGTCCAATTAGTGTTCAAATTAGTGAGACGTCTCAAGTTTGACGCACATTGATAGTAATGATGTATTATATTTATGTTAAGTTTAATACTTAGTAAATAGTTGATTCATTGTACGGCCTAACCCAGCTACCCCTTAGTAGATTACCCCATCCGCTTAAATGTAGAATATTGTTGTATCAAAAAGTTCTTTCAGCACCCTCCCTTAGAGTAGATTATCCCCTCCGTTTAGACGTGGAATATAATTGTTTAAAAAAATAGTCTTTTATTCAATGAAAATGCTACCTCAAGTTAGTTGTACACTGTCGTGTGGAAGAATAATATGGTAACCACTTTTGAACGTCTGTTTACTTACCAAGAATGAGGATGCAAAGTCTGTTTACTTACCAAGAATGGGCAGCCCCAAACCAAAACCCCTCATCCGGGCAGCCCCAAACAAAACCTCGACGATATACGGAGTGGCGGGAACGATCAGATTGCTTACAAGTAAGTCAATTGCTTGCTTTTACTCGCTTTGGAGTATTTCGAACCAAAATGTGTAACTTTTTTCCGTTGTATTGTATAAATCTGTGGATTGAATGGCTATATTTCCAGGAAATTGATGTGTTTGGTGCAGGAAATTATGTTCTTGTAATAACTTCGTGGACGGAAGTTGGGACTAATCTCGGCTTCCCTGTTTATCGAGTGACCTCGATGAGGTTTCTGTCCTGCAACGAGGGTATGAAGAATTCAACTGCTCAGGAGGTAAGGGTTTTGATTCGTTAGCGAATTTCAGTGTGACTTGGGATAGTTTGAATTTGTGATGTGTTTCTGCAGAAAAAGGATGAGGCGTACTTCATGGCTCTGTTGAAAACAGTCCAATCAACGCCGGGGCTGTACTTCTCGATTCGAGGTTCAATTCCGCTTCTTTGGGAGTAAATTGTTGACTTGAGCTATAAACCACAACTTAGAATTATTACTCATGAGAGACAATGGCAGTTCCATCCCCTTTTACTCTTTTCTTGGCTTCATGGTACAGTTCCCTTGATTGAGTTGTGTGTTCTGAATTTTCCCATCCACTTACAGTCAAATGTTATGGAGCGCCATTTTTTTTATCTTTCGCAAAGATATGGAGAGACAATGGCAGTAGACCCAACTGATAAAGTATGGGTTTCTTAGTTTTCAAGAAAAAAAAAGAAAAAAGTATGGGTTTCTTTTCTTTTACATTTTAATTTTAATTTAACAATCCTTGCACACTGGTTCACCTTTACGTTAAGCTGAAAAGTTTGCAATTTTTTTTCCTTCAAATTGTGTTTGTACGACATGCTCACCTTTTTGTAGCTCTGGGATTTGCTAAATAAGCAATGATGTCTATAATTCTTCCCAGCTGACTGCTTGTGCTACACAAGTTTTACTGTTTTTTTAATTGTATGCAAAGTATATGTTGTTTCATAAATTTCCCGTTGTTATAATTTTCCGTTTATTGTTATTTGTAGCATGGCGATGAAGGTCAACTAAGTACGGCATTTTCTGCTGAAATGCAAAATCTATCAAATGTGAGGTGACAATTTGCATATCTATGTTGGCTCCCAACTGAATCATTGTCCCACTGCAAGTAGATTCCTTTTTTGTTTTCGAGGTTGCCTATGATGAAGTCAGTTCTATTGGTTGGCATTGGGAACAATGTCAGAAATGAGATTTTGTTCTCAACTTGCTAGTGTTTTTGTTGTAGATACGTTTCATTTGACTTCCATCAAGTATGTGGTAACTCAAACTTTGAAAACCTAAAGGTTCTATACGAGCAGATCTCAGAGCAATTTGAAAAGCAAGGGTAATGAAAGTGTAGTATCTGATTGAATTAAATATGCCAAAATCCATGTATGCTGGCTATATGTAATACTGTTTTTAATCAAAACTGTTCCAGCTGAGCAGATACTTCCCCGTAGATGCGAAAGGCAATATACTGGAGGAGCAGAAAGGGATTGTCAGATCAAACTGCATTGGTTGCCTTGATAGAACAAATGTTACTCAGGTTTCTAAGAAAATTACCTAGTGTGATTGATCTTAATAATTTGTGGTAATATGATATACCATATGCCATAGCATGAGTAAACTGAGATTTGACATTAAATTGTTTACCGCTTCTTTATTTTGTAGAGTTACTTGGCCCAGAAGTCTCTAGATGCACAGTTGCAGAGGACTGGAGTGCTGGATTCTTCTGAAAGCATTTCTGTGTTTGCTGAAGACTATCAAACATTTAAACCATGTATGGAATTCTTTGTGTCATGTATCCTATCTTTCATAAATGATCAAACAATGTCTACAATAAACATTTAAAGCGTGTATGGAATTCTTTGCGTGCTACACAAGTTTTGTTGGATTTATTTATTTTATGGTTGTGATGAAGGATGAAAGATTGTTTCAAGGCACATATAAATATGCTGTCTTTCATACTCTATTCGCCCCCACATATAATGTGCAAAAGGAATATGCGAATAAGCTTTGTGGATACAGTTATGCCTGACATTACGCCTATTGTTTGTCAAAGTTTTACACACTCCTAAAACAAAGCCCAAACACTCAAAGAGATATACAAGAATAATCAAGATTTAACTAGAAACTAATACTACATATTTAGTTTGTAGGCTTTCATTATTTCAAATAATAGGAGTATAAATATAATTCTCACTTTTTTTCTTCTCTCTAGCCTTGATTTAGCTTACATGAATTTCTATATTGTGTCATGTTCTCTCTAAAACCTTTGCTTGAGTTGACTTTATAGTCATGAATAAGCTAGTATGACTCAAAAACCTATTATTCCATTCTTTTATGTTTTCTGTGAATAAATTTAATATTATGGACAAAAGACAGTTTACTACCCTCATGTTTAGTGGTTTTCAACATTTAGTACATCAATTTTTTTTCATCCCAGAGTCATATCTAAAGTGTAAATTTTGGGATAGTCTCATACATCCGTTAGTCAAACTGTTAGTTCTCACGTTAAGTGATGACGTGGTGCCCTGATTGGGCGCCACGTATCATTAAAAAATATTAAAAATTTATTTAAATAAAAATAATATTAAAATAATAAAAAAAAAAAAAATTTCTTCTTCTCTTCTTCTTCTTCTTCTTCTTTTTCTTCTTCTTCTTCTGGGTTCGGTTTCCCTTCTTTTTTTTTTCTTCTTCTTCCTCCTCCTTCTCCTTCTTCTTCCTTCTCCTTCCTCCTCCTTCTTCTTCTCCTTCTTCTTCCTTCTTCTTCCTCTTCTTTTCTGGGTTCGGTTGTTTTTTTTTTCCTTCTCCTCCTTCTTCTTCTTCCTTCTTCTTCCTCTTCTTCTTCCTTCTTCTTCCTCTTCTTCTTCTGGGTTCGGTTGTTTTTCTTTTCTTTTCTTTCTTCTCCTTCTTCTTCTTCTCCTCCTCCTCCTTTCTCCTCCTCCTCCTTCTTCCTTCTTCTTCTTCTTCTTCCTCCTTCTGGATTCGATTTTTTTTCCCTTTCTTTCTTCTTCTTCTGCTCCTCCTCCTCCTTCTTCTTCCTCCTTCTTCTGGGTTCGGGTATTATTTTTTTTTCTTCTCTTCCTCCTCTTTCTCCTTCTTTGCAGGTGGGTTTTTTTTTTTTTTTTTTTATAATATTATTGAGGAAGAAGAAGAAGGAGAAGAAGAAGGAGGAGAAGGAGGAGGAAGGAGAAGGAAGAAGAAGGAGAAGGAGGAGGAAGAAGAAAAGAAAAGGAGAGAAACCGAACCCAGAAGAAGAAGAAGAAGAAGAAGAAGAAGAAGAAGAAGAAGAAGAAGAAGAAGAGAAGAAGAAAAAATAAATATTTTATTATTATTTTAATATTATTTTAATTTAAATTTTTTTTAAATTTTTTTTAAATTTTATTTTTATTTAAATAAATTTTTAATATTTTTTAATGACACATTGCGCCCAATCAGGACGCCACGTCATTACTTAACGGGTGAACTAACAGTTTGACTAACGGCTGTATGAGACTGTTCCAAAATTTACACTTTAGGTATGACTCTGGGATGAAAAACAATTGATGTACTAAATGTTGAAAACCACTAAACATGAAGGTAATAAATTGTCTTTTGTCCTAATATTTTTATATTAGATCATTCCCTTTTACAACATAAAATTAATAAGTAAAAAAAAAATCTTGTTGGTGTTGTGGTCTATTTTATCTGACAAAGGGACTAGGGCCGGCGGCAGAGAGAGAGAGGAGAGAGATGTGTGTTTGTAGAATTGTAGGGGAATGTGTGTGTTGTTATCCCTCCTACATTGTGCCTTTATTTATAGTAGTAAAGGGAGAGAAGATATTTCTTCTCCTCCAAGTAATACAAGTTGTAATAGGAAAGGATAACTAGAATCAAATCTTATCTAGGATTTACACAATCATACTTAAACTAGGAATGTTTACAACACTCCCCCTTGAGTGGGTAAATACTCAAGGTAGATTCAGCATCATGCAGAAGTTGAGGAAGTCGACTCGTCAGCACTGATTCCAAGGAACAACGCTTATTCTCAATAAGGTAGGAACTTGCATAAGTAGTGAGTCTCACTAAAAAACCCTAAGGCTATGGCAAAAACCCAAGTAGGGACAAAATCCATAGTCTAAGGAAAAATGCGTGAGAAATGTAAAGTCAAAAGAAACGTCTACAGGACGTCATCAGGGATATGACCAGCCCAAGGTGGGTGCCTCGTTAAAACCTAGTTAGGTAGCAAAAACCTAGTGGGAAAAATGCTCCTAATCGTAGGGAAAAAGAGTACATTAAGATCAAGCAAGTATCTAGAAGATACTCCCCCTGAGTTTGACATAATTCCAAAGAGAAATAGCAAAGTTACAACTTAGAAAGTTTACGCATACCAATTCCATGAACAAGCTTCTGAAACGTCGCCTTCGGTAGTGATTTGGTGAAGAGGTCGGCCAGATTGTCTTGTGATCGGATTTGCGTGACTTCAATCTTCTGATGCTCTTGTTGTTGATGTGTAAAGAAGAACTTCGGCGCAATATGCTTGATGTTGTCTCCTTTGATGTAACCCTTATTGAGATGTTCGATGCAAGCTGCGTTGTCTTCAAAAATCGTCGTCGGGGCATTAACGGCGGGATGAAGATCACAGGAGCTTCGAATATGGCCCACTACTGCTCTCAACCAAAAGCATTCCCGAGTTGCTTCATGTAAGGCGAGAATTTTAGCATGGTTAGACGAAGTGGCAACTAAGGTCTGTTTAGTTGACCTCCAAGATATTGCGGTGCCTCCAACGGTAAAGACATAACCCGTTTGAGAACGCGCCTTGTGCAGATCAGATAAGTATCCAGCGTCGGCATAATAACCAACAAGGCGAGAATCAACCCGATGAGCATAGGTGTGCGGCATCACTCGAGGATTCGTAGGGATAAGCCCAGAATAAGAGCCCGTAGATCTTTTACCTTAAGGTACGGAAGATGTCTTTCACGTCCAATGTCTGCGTGTTGGTGCATTGCTGTATCTTTGCCAAAAATTAACAGCGAAGGAGATGGTCGAGTGAAGTGCTTGAGCTAATTAGGTAAAGCGCTTATCGGAACTTCAGGCTCCAAATCTTTCATCCAAAAAGGGATCTCGCTTTGCATGACTAGGACGATCAAAAACGCCTAGTTCGAAGACCTCTTAAAAGGAAGACTTCTGGGCTTTGCTCATCGATTCATTCTAGGATTACTGACAATGCCTATCTCGAGACCGAAGCAGTCGAGTCTTCTAGATCTTTCATCTCAATTTTTCAAAGCTCTTCAGGAGCGAGATGAGATTCCGATGTCATTCATGTCATCGACATATACTGCAACAATCGCAAATCCGGAATGTGACTTCTTAATGAACACACAAGGGCATAGTTCGTTATTCACATATCCCTGACTAGTCAAATACTCACTTAAACGGTTATACCACATTCTTCCGGATTGTTTCAAACCGTATAGTGAACGCCTCAGCCGAATTGAGAGCGTGTTCCGGGGTTTGGAAATATTTGAACCAGTCAATGTAAGTCCTTCGGGAACTTTCATATAAATTTCCGTATCAAGATCCCCATAGAGATACGCGGTTACTACGTCCATCAGCTGCATGTCCAGTTTTTCGGAAACTACCAAACTGATAAGGTATCGAAAAGTAATCACATCTATAACGGGTGAGTAAGTTTCGTCATAGTCAATCCCGGGGCGTTGTGAGAAACCTTGTGCTACAAGACGAGCTTTGTAACGCACAATTTCGTTCTTCTCATTACGCTTCCGAACGAAAACCCACTTGTAGCCAACGGGCTTCACATGTGGAGGAGTAGGAACTACAGGTCCAAACACCTTACGTTTCGCAAGTGAATCAAGTTCGACTTGGATTGCTTGTTTCCAGTTTGACCAATCAGCTCTATGTCGACATTCATCAACGGAACGCGGTTCAATGTCATCGCTCAACATGATCTCAGTAGCTACTGCAAATGCTAATGCATCGTCGACAATCATCTCATTTCTACGCCACACATCATCTAAGCTAGCATAATAGACCGAAATCTCACGATTCTCGGGAGGAGGATTCGTCTCTTCAAGGACGCTTCCATAATCTAGAATTTCCTCATGAGTTGGGTAAAATGAGTAAGCGATAGTCGGATTCACGGTAGGCTCTTCAGGACCTTGTGCCGTGATTTTCCTCTTCCGGGGGTGTGAATCCTTTGAACCAAGGGGTCTGCCACGCTTTTGTATAGGGGCAGATGATTGGCTAGCCGCTAATGTACGTGGATCACCAGAATTGGCGTCCCGGGCTTCCAGGAGGGTAGTCCGTCGTACATTTGGTACATCCATCTTTGCAGGCGTATTCGCAGCTGGAATATGTGATCTTGTCACGCGCGCTAGATCGGTGAAAGCATCTGGCATGCTCTGAGCTATGCTCTGGAGATCTAATATGCGCTGCACTTCAGCTTCAGACTGAGCGGTGCGGGGATCTAAATGAGACAAAGTGGGAGTCGTCCACGATAATTCGCGTCGTTCATTAGGAACGTTGACGTTCTTATCTCCCCCTAACGACGGGAAGACTGTCTCATAGAAGTGACAATCCGCGAAACGAGCGGTAAACAGATCGCCTGTCAAAGGTTCTAAGTAACGAATAATCGAAGGAGAATCATATCCGACATAGATTCCCATCCTTCGCTGAGGCCCCATTTTTGTACGTAAGGGCGGCGAGATCGGCACATAGACCGCACAACCAAAAACGCGCAGATGCGATATGTCGGGTTCGCATCCGGTGACCAACTGAATGGCACTAAATGGTTGTGTCGCAACAGGCCTCAGGCGGACCAACTTTGCTGCGTGCAATATTGCATTGCCCCAAGCAGCGATCGGGAACTTGGTACGTATGACCAACGATCGAGCAATCATTTGTAAACGCTTAATGAAAGCCTCTGCCAGGCCGTTCTGGGTGTGAACATGGGGTACATGATGTTCAACTTCAACCCCAACCGACATGCAATAGTCATCAAAAGTTTTAGATGTGAATGCTCCAGCATTATCCAATCGAATAGATTTGATCGGATAATCAGGGTGGTGAGCCCTGAGCTTGATAACCTGAGCCAACAGTTTGGAGAATGCAGCGTTCCTTGTGGACAACAAGCACACGTGTGACCAACGTGTAGAAGCGTCAACCAAAACCATAAAATATCTAAATGGTCCGCAGGGTTGAAGGTTGAATCGGTCCACAAATGTCCCCCTGAATCCGTTGTAGAAAAATGGGAGGATTCGAACGAATCTTGTCATAAGAAGGCTTAGTAATAAGCTTTCCCATAGAACATGTTTGACATGCAATTTCATGGATCGAACCTAAGCTTCGGGTTAGTGGATGCCCGTGTGAAGTTTTGAGGATACGGCGCATCGCTATTCGTCCAGGATGTCCCAAACGATCATGCCAAAGTGTAATTTCGTGCGCGGTCCCTGTGGTAGGGCCGGCCACAGAGTGGCATTCTATGGGGCGTATGGTCGTAGTATACAGACCACTCGGGTTACGCTCCATCTTCTCTAGAATACGCTTCTAGCCATATTCGTAGGAAGTTACGCACAGAAATTCAACTCTGTTTTCTACGTGGGTTTCAGCGTGGTAATTTTTATCTCTAATGTCCTTGAAACTGAGTAACGTTCTTCCGGAACGTGGAGAATAGAGTGCCTCAGCAATGGTCAAGATTGTACCATTGGACAACATTATACGTGCCTTACCGTATCCTTCGATCAGGTTGGATGGGCCTGAGAGGGTTGTCAGAGGTGCATTCTTAGGTACGAAGTTAGTGAAATAGATGCGTTCACGCAAAACAGTATGCGTGGTTGCACTATCTGCCAGACAACTAACTTTCCCACTAGTCATACCTAGAATGAAAAATTAATTTGAATCGGTCACATGTATAAAAGTTTATAAAAACAAGTATCAATTCAAAATAATTTCATTTATTCAAGGATTAAAAACTTAATATCCAAAATAAATCGCCAACTAATAATCCAAAACATAAAGGAAAATTGTTCAAAATCAACCAAAAAACAAGGTGGGGTTCGGCCACAAGGTGGAATTCGGCCCCAATTGTCTTATTTTAACTGAAAAATAAGTCTATGTCTAAGATTCTAATCTTCCATAGGAGTGGTATCCTCCTGAAAATCAGAAACCTCCATCTTTGTAGTCTCCGGTTCGTCCACTTGCAGGAAGTTTGATTCAAACTTTGTACGACGAGAATGATATGCATCCACAACCTTCTTGGGAGCACGGCAAATACGGGACCAATGGTCCTTGGAACCACAACGATAGCACATATCGTCATTCATTGTGGCAGGTGCTTTGCCCTTTATTCTTGAAGTTCGGGGCCTTAGGAGCGAGGTTTGGGCGCTTCTGGGCTTTGTTTCCTCCCTTGGATGGGCCTTGGCTCTGTTGACCTTGGTGGGATGGCTTCTGGCCACCCTTACCACGCCTCTTTTGGCGTTTTGGGTGCTGATTAGTGCTATAATGTGCTTCAGGCACAGCAGTAGCCCCAGTAGGTCGAGCTTGATGATTCTTCATCAACAGCTGGTTCTGCTTTTCAGCAAGAAGTAAAACAGAGATCAAATCCGAGAACTTAGTGAACTTCTGAGCTCTATATTGTTGCTGCAGGACAATATTAGAAGCAGAGAAGGTCGAGTAGGTCTTCTCCAGGAGATCCTCTTCAGTCAAAGTTTCATTGCAAAACTTGAGAAGTGATCGGATTCGACAAACTTCAGAATTATATTCATTCACAGACTTAAAGTCTTGGAAGCGCAAATGCTGCCAGTCGTGTCTTGCTTCAGGCAAGAATATGTCCTTTTGGTGATCGAAACGATCAGCCAAAGCGACCCATAATGCACGTGGATCCTCCTCAGCAAGGTACTCAGTTTGTAGGGCGTCATGGATATGTCTTCGGATGAAGATCATAGCAGTGGCTTTTTCAGCCTCGCCAACAGGTTTATCTGTTGCTTCTTCAATAGCAGGACGCAAGTTCTTTGCAGTGAGGTGGAGCTTCACATCTTGAACCCACTTGAGGTAGTTCCTTCCAGAAACCTCCAAAGCGGTGAAGTCGAGTTTGTTCAAGTTCGACATGTTCCTATCACAAAATTAGATGGACAAGATGTGGTTAGTGTAATGGAGAAAAATCAATCCATTCACATAGGAGTAGAACATACAGGTTCTAATAGACATGTATTGGTTGAATTTTGCATGAAAAACTTCGGGTTTTCATGGGTGATATGTTTAAGTGAAAACTTCGGGTTTTCTAACAAGGCATGTGTATAAGAAACTTCGGGTTTCAAAGTAATTATGAACTTCAGGTTCATATATTCCTGCAGGCAAACACAAATATATATGCAAACAAATATGCAAAGAATATATGCAGAAATATTGTATAATGATAAGTGAATTAATTTATTTTTGGTCTTCGGGGCCAAATTAAAGTGTGGGTGAAAATATAAAAACCCATATTATTTAAAAAAAATTAAATAATAAAATCTCGGGGCCTAAAAATATAGGCCGAGTACCCCCGGGTGTAGGCTGCAGGCCCACGGGGTGAGAAAGGAATGGGCTGCTGTGTGCAGCCCTAAAAAAATTTCTCTTTTTTTCGGTATGGGCCGCTGCAGGCGAGCCCAGGAAAAATAAAAAAAAAACAAATTGTTTCCTTTGTGGGCTGGGCCGCTGCAAGCGAGCCCAGCAAAAAAAATTGTTTTTTTCTTTTGTTACACGGGCCGAGAGACAGAGCCCGAGTAGGGTTCGGGAAAGAGACCCAAAAGAAATCCCAGCCGTGCTGGGTGTGCGATGCCGAAGAAGAAAGCCGGAGTTCGTGGACGGCGCCATGGCAGGCGGTGTGTCCAGGGTCGAGCAAGCCATGGTTCGTCGAAGAACCAGGTGTTTGTCGACGAAGAAGAGATCTCGACGTCGATGGAAGAAAAAAAAAAACCGAATGAATTCAATTGAATTCGAGTGAAGACCCATGAAATTCTTCTGGAATTTCTAGAAATCGTTGGTGAAAACGATGGGTGGTGTCCAAGTTTGCACGACTGCAGGTCGTGTTGTGTCGGAAAATTGACGGCGAGGACCTAGGCTTCAGGCCGTAGGTCGGGACAAGGTGCTTCAAACGCACCGTTTCGGTTCAAGGCTTGCGGCCTGGGTTCTCGGTTTGGGTTGGGCCATCGCAGGCTGCGGGCCTGGTGGCTTGCGGCCTTGCATGGTGCAAAGGCACGGGTTCGACTAGAACCCTAATTCCCCAATCGCAAATTTTTTTTTTTTCAATTCAAATATATTACATGTATAATTTTAATGAATCACATATTTACGTTGATGCATATGCAAATAATAGTTTCAATGCATGTACAGATGTAGGATTCAATTCATGACAAATATCAAATTCACATAATTGTAGTAATTTTGATTATGAAGCATACGCAATTTACGTAGAATCTAAAATACGTAAAACGTAAAGTTGGGTCATGCATCATGGTGAATGTTCATGCTATCAGGGCTTGCAAAATATCGAGTTAAAAGCCGTTGTTTGGAAAGAACCTGATTGCGTGATGATATGGATGAACTGGTTTGATGCAGAAAAAATTTCCAACGTCAGATTCCTAAGCGCAGCGGTAGGAGCGTGCTGATAACGTGTTGTGGTCTATTTTATCTGACAAAGGGACTAGGGCCGGCGGCAGAGAGAGAGAGGAGAGAGATGTGTGTTTGTAGAATTGTAGGGGAATGTGTGTGTTGTTATCCCTCCTACATTGTGCCTTTATTTATAGTAGTAAAGGGAGAGAAGATATTTCTTCTCCTCCAAGTAATACAAGTTGTAATAGGAAAGGATAACTAGAATCAAATCTTATCTAGGATTTACACAATCATACTTAAACTAGGAATGTTTACAACAGTTGGATGATTTTTTTAAAAACAAATGATATTATCGATAGAGAAGTGGGCTAAGTCTCGCATCAAATTAGTAATAATGTGGTTTAAATTCGTTTTTTGCAAAACATAAGAAATCTCTACTTACAACTGATGTTGAATACTATTAAACTATAATACTAAGCGACAATTTTCAATTGAAACTTAAAAAGCAGACAAAAAGGAAAGAAAAAAAAAAAATACATTACCCCTATCCGATTCTCTCTCAGTCAGCCGAGCCCAACTCCCCCAACCGCGCCGATCCCCTCTTACAGTAGCATCCCTTCATCCGAGTCCTCTCCAGCTATCTTCGGTAAGGTTTGCTCTCTTCGCTTCTCGTTCTTCCTCTCTTGTTTTCGCATATGTAGAAAACTGCTGCTGTATTTTTATTATTTCCATCTAAAATTCAAATTTCTAGCCGAATGCGCATTCGATTACCTGTTTTAGGGTTCCTGTTCTGTTCAATTTATTAATCGTTTCATCTATTTACACAGCATGTTTAATTCCCAGAATTTGTTTTCTGTGATGGGAATTAGGCAAACATCGGAAGCACCCAGAACTTGAAAGAGTAATTAGAAATTAAAAAATTTGGATTTTTTGGGTTTTTTTTGGTATTTGAGTTATGGGGCAATGAACTGCTTTGCATTGGTGAATTGGTGTGACAAAAGTAAACCACTTTTATTATTTTTGTGCATAGTTGTAAAAGAGTTTGCAAATACTCGTAGCTGATCGATAAGTTGCATGATTTGGGAATATAAACACCCTGCAATTTGGCATGAAATTGTTAAAAAGGTATGCAGATTTGCAAATTGGGTTAGTCTCGAAACTTTTGAATGTGCATTAGCGTTATCATTGGATGCAGGAGCATCTGAGGGGCACTCGAAAGCTAAGTCGGCTGCCAGCCAGCTAGGCTAGGGTTCTAGTTAATTTGGGGATTCGAGTTTTTATCATTTGGATTCTGTTTACTGTGATTTGGCCCTATTTGATCCTCTGGACAGAAGCTTATTTTACCCTGTTGTTGCAGGAACATGGCGAAGCATCATCCTGACCTGATTATGTGCCAAAAGCAACCTGGAATAGCTATTGGAAGGTTGTGTGAAAAATGCGACGGTGAAAAATGCGACGGTAAGTGTGTAATTTGTGACTCTTATGTGCGTCCTTGCACACTTGTTCGGGTTTGCGATGAGTGCAACTATGGATCTTTCCAGGGAAGGTGTATTATTTGTGGAGGGGTTGGAATTTCTGATGCTTATTACTGCAAAGAGTGTACTCAGCAGAAGAAAGATAGAGATGGGTGCCCAAAAATTGTGAATCTAGGAAGTGCCAAAACAGATCTGTTCTATGAACGGAAAAAGTATGGTTTCAAGAAAAGATGATCATTAGCAGGTCAAGTTTCACTTAGATTCTGGAAATCATTTTGTTTTGTTCTTCATTGAGGCTTAGCAAATATTCCAATCAGGTATTTTTCTTAGAAAACTTGCTTGTTACTGCTTGTATGTTTGACTGTTGTATTTTCTCGTTTGATATGTTTCCAACCTACTCTAATTCTGTGGCTAATCAAGCAATTTATGACTTGAGTAATTCTCACTCGTAATCTTTGTATGTGGCATGCATCTCAGGATGTTTGAACTCCTGAGTGCGTATTATATTTATGTTAAATTTAATACTTAGTAAATAGTTGATTCATTGTATGGCCTAACCCAGCCACCCTTCCCTTAGTAGATTATCCCATTCGCTTAAATGCAGAATATTGTTGTATCAAAAAGTTCTTTCAGCACCCTCCCTTAGAGTAGATTATCCCCTCCGTTTAGACGTGGAATATAATTGTTTAAAAAAATAGTCTTTTATGCAACGAAAATGCTACCTCAAGTTAATTGTACAATGTCATGTGGAAGAATAATATGGTAACCACTTTTGAACTCAATAGTGGTCAGTTTACTTACCAAGAATGAGAATGCAAAGTGTGGGTATAATTCTCACTCTTGACATCATGCGTTTACTAAAATGCAAGGAATAAAAAGGTAATGGAATCCCTTGTTAAACAAATGTGTTCCGTTTATAATTTCAACCATGTCAGTACAAATAGAGACTTGCTTATTCCGTACCTGAACAATGTCACTTATATATCACTTTCATATCATTATCATATACGCAAAGTAAGCAAGCATGCCCTAAATTACAACTACAACAAGAGTTTTCTATCAATCGAAATAGTCCAGTCCAAGTCAAACCACAACTCACAAGTAAAGAATCCATCCTTCACACTTTTTTTGTACTTAGCCATTTAAGATTTAACCCAAAAACGATGACTTGGCTTCACACAATCCCTCCACTTGGCAGCCTCGAGACGTGTTGCCCCATCATCCGGGCAGCCCCAAACAAAACCTCGACGATATACGGAGTGGCGGGAATGATCAGATTGCTTACAGGTAAGAACATTGCTTGCTTTTACTTGCTTTGGAGTATTTCGAAACGAAAATGTGTAGCTTTTTTCCGTTGTATTGTATAGATCTGTGGATTGAATGGCTATATTTCCAGGGAATGGTGTTTGTTTGCTGAATTGATGTGTTTGGTGCAGGAAATTATGTTCTTGTAATAACTTCGCGGACGGAAGTTGGGACTTATCTCGGCTTCCCTGTTTATCGAGTGATCTCGATGAGGTTTCTGTCCTGTAGTGAGGGTATGAAGAATTCAACTGCTCAGGAGGTAAGGGTTTTGATTCTTTTGATTCGTTAGTGAATTTCAGTGTGACTTGGGATGTTTTGAATTTCAGTGCTCAGGCGTACTTCATGGTTCTGTTGAAAACAGTCCAATCAACTCCGGGGCTGTACTTCTCGTACGAGACTGATATAACACTAAAGTAAATTCTTATGCCTAGCACTCAGCCAAAGTTAAAATTTTTTGTATCTGTTAGGGTGCCTTTTAAGTACATTCCACTGTTTTCATAGCTGTTGTGTGATTACTGTTCAAAACCTTATCATGTCAATTTATGTATCTATTCGATAAAGTGTTGTATTTGTTTATTTAATCATATATAATTGATCATTTCTACCAGCTTTCAAAGAAGATATAAGTTAGTGGAAGGATGGATGGACAAACCAATATGGAAGCAGGTTAGTTGGAAATTTGGAATATTGGGTTTATCGGGACCTCATTAGTTCTTAAAAGTGATTCATGTTATATACATCAGGTGCATATAAGCATATATGTTGTCCACGCGTTTAGTTTACTTTACTAGGCATCCTCAACTCTTTCCAAGTCAGAGGGTTAATAGGGAAAGAAAGGAAAGCCGCCCTAAGGATTTGCCTACTTCTGCGTTTTTGTGCACTATACTTATCTTTTGTTCTCAAGGTGAAAGTATCAGCTCAATAAATATGCCTTCTCAGTTCATATCCTTGAAGACATGTCATCCTTTGTGCAATTTTTTGGTTGTCAAGTGATTTTCCCTTCCCCTTTATCCAAAGGATTTTTTTGTCAGCACTAGAAGAAGAGAAAGCATGAATATCGAGTTAACTAACACACCATATCATATGGATGTTTATGAGTCTTTTCTCTTAATGCCATTTTAGCTCCTATCAAATGATTACTTTACACATTACGATCTATGACTAGTAATTGCTTGGTAGTTTTTAACATTATTTGTGTTTTCAGGCTGACCCTCGATTTGTTTGGAATAGAAATCTTTTGGACAAACTTATCGAGTTTAAGGTTAGACTTTCCATCTTCGAGGTCATAATTAGTTAAACAATTTGAACAGCATTTCCAGAAGTCGTCAAATCTTCGCGCACAAATTTTATTGCTAATGCTCATTAATTTTCTCATGGCAGCTTGATGGGTTCATTATTCCTATAATACAAGGAAATATCCTGAATTTACTGATTTCTTATGTGTATATCCTCCTCCCTCCCTCCCTCTTAAGATTGAGATTCAGAGTTTAGGAGAGTAATATGTTATGGTGTTCCTTAACCTATATTTAAGCTTTCAGAGTTTAGGAGAGTAATATGTTATGGTGTTCCTTAACCTATATTTAAGCTTCCAGACTGCACAGCTAAAGCTAAGGGGCTAATCTGCCACACTTACGATAGTCTCAAGGAGGTGTACCCGGCGTCTAGGTACAATCTTCTAGAGATGATTGATTCTTGTAATCACTTTTGTGTCTGTATCTGCATGTTTTGAAGAATTTAAACATGAAACACTGTAATGTGGTCCCGTAGGGACAAGAATGTGGAGAAGAGGAGCCAACCTTGATGGAGATGTTGCTAATTTTATTGAAACTGAGCGGTTGGTGGAGATTGAAGGTTTCCAGTCCCCATTATTGCAGGTAATTCTCATATGAAGGTTCAGAAAAGAAATGTGTGCTGAGGTGTTATTGTATTGGAATATTTTTAGTTACTATTATGTTTCTTTGCCTAAATAGGACATTAGCTTATATCATGGTGTCATTGTACACATGATCAACTAAGTTGGCCGGGGATTAAACATTTGAGAAAAGTATATTCTGTTGAGAATGAATCCCATATTGATGGGAGGAGAGAACTTGCATGAGCTTATAAGTAAATTGGGCTAATCCCCATATTGCCAATTGGTTTTATGGTGGAACCTGAACTTTCTTCACATTCTGCACTCCTTGTTGATGTGAGAAATATCATAATTGTAGAACTTTGTCATTCTTTTCTGAGGTTGATGGACTGCCCCTCACATAGATGAAACTTTTGTACAGTTTAGCAAGGATAGATTGGTTTTGCCAACTTTTATATATTTAGAAAACTTTTCCAATACTATACTTTCTAAATATGCAGACACTGTTTCACTATTAACCCTTAAGACTGATAGAAGATTGGAAGTTTTGTCGTAATTTAATACGAGAAGATTTATTTGTCTCTTCTTTTTTTTTTTTTTTCTGAATAAAACCCTCCATAATATTTTTGATATGTTTTTCAGATTCGAGGTTCAATTCGGCTTCTTTGGGAGCAAATTGTTGACTTGAGATATAAACCACAACTTAGAATTATTACTCATGAGCAGACGGTAATTTGTTGCCAGAGATGCAAATTCATCCCTTTTTACTCTTTTCTTGGCTTCATGGTACAGTTCCCTTGTTTGAGTTGTGTTCTGAATTTTCCCATCCACTTACAGTCAAATGTTGTGGAGTGCCATTTTTTTAATCTTTCGCAAAGATATGGAGAGACAATGGCAGTAGACCTAACTGATCAAGTATGGGTTTTCTTTTCTTTTACATTTTACTTTGAATTTAACAATCCTTGCACACTGATCCACCTTTACGTTAAGCTGAAAAGTTTGCAATTTTTTCCTTCAAATTGTGTTTGTACGACACGCTCACCTTTTTGTGGCTTTGGGATTTGCTAAATAAGCAATGATGTCTATAATTCTTCCCAGCTGACTGCTTGTGCTACACAAGTTTTAATGTTTTTTTAATTGTATGCAAAGTATATGCTGTATCATAAATTTCCAGTTATAATTTTTCCATTTATTGTTATTTGTAGCATGGCGATGAAGGTCAACTAAGCACGGCATTTTCTGCTGAAATGCAAAATCTACCAAACGTGAGGTGACAATTTGCATACTTATGTATGCAACCATGTTGGCTCCCAACTGAATCATTTTCCGACTTCAAGTAGATTCCTTTTTTTTTTCGAGGTTGCTTATAATGAAGTCAGTTCTATTGGTTGGCATTGGGAACAATGTCAGAAATGAGATTTTGTTCTCAATTTACTGCTTGTGTTTTTGTAGCAGATACGTTTCATTTGACTTTCATCATGTATGTGGTAACTCAAACTTTGAAAACCTAAAGGTTCTATACGAGCATCTCAGAGCAATTTGAAAGGCAAGGGTAATGAAAGCGTAATATCTGATTGAATTAAGTATGCCAAAATGAAGGTATACTGGCTATGTGTAATACTTTTTTTAATCAAAACTGTTCCAGTTGAGCAGATTATTCCCCGTAGATGCGAAAGGCAATATACTGGAGGAGCAGAAAGGGATTGTCAGATCAAACTGCATTGATTGCCTAGATAGAACAAATGTTACTCAGGTTTCTAAGAAAATTACCTAGTGTGATTGATCTTAATAATTTGGGCTAATATGATATACCATATGCCATAGCATGAGTAAACTGAGATTTGACATTAAATTGTTTACTGCTTCTTTATTTTGTAGAGTTACTTGGCCCAGAAGTCTCTAGATGCACAGTTGCAGAGGACTGGAGTGCTGGATTCTTTTGAAAACATTTCTATGTTTGCTGAAGACTATCAAACATTTAGAGCGTGTATGGAAATTTTCATGTCTTGTATCCTATCTTTCATAAATGATCAAACGATGTCTATAATAAATTGTTGTACTCACTCTCAATTTAGTGTGGGCGGAGCAAGGTGACGAGATAAGCCTCGAGTATGCAGGGACGTATGCCCTGAAAGGGGACCTGGTTAGGTAAATTCAACCGTCTAGTGTGACTTGAATCTTGGACAATATATTTGTATATCCTTTTTTTTTTTTAATCATATTCTGGATCCATATTACCGCAGATATGGGAAGCAGACATTTGGAGGAATAATTAAAGATGGGATGAGTGCTCTTTCAAGATATTTTTTGAATAACTTTCAGGATGGCATTCGGCAGGTAATCTGTCTCTCTTTCGCAAATATAGAGTATTGCTCATCTGCATGAAAGCAAGTGACTTCCATTTATATATACCTGCTTAAAATTAGTTTCAAATTTGTTCAGGATCCCTATGGATCTTATCAGTGGCCGCTATACAGTTAGAAGGGATATTTCACCATCCCGGGCTGAATCTTTTTCTGTAAGTACAATGAATCTTTTAAAGAAATTGAAGTGCCTGAATTCCTTGTCTGGTTTTATACATCCCTTTGTTATCAGTTATACAGATCCCGGGTAGGATAATTAAATCTTGGTTCATCTTCTTGGAACCTCAATATTTTAGTTCATGATGGTTTGGGGAGTACCCTTGATGCAGTGCATAAAGAGTTTATTCAACGGGGCTTTTGGTATTTTGGTGTTTGGCCATTCAGTTAATTATTAAATTGAGATTCATGTATCTTAGGCTGTGACTTAATGTTTTGTATAAATTTTGATGCATTTTAAGTTGTGTTTTAAATTAAGTGGCTAGGTGGAACAATTGTCATTTAATATGCTTCGGACATGGTACACTCCTTTAGAGATTGTGTGAGATCACTAATTCAAGGGGCCACGTTGTTTACGATAGCATGGGTGTGTTTTGATAATCTTATGCAATCCAAATAAAAAGAAATCGCTCTGAATTTACTCCAAATATTCTAACATGATTTCAACTGGACGAAACACTTACAATGCCCTTTTGTATTTACTGACTAGAAATATTCTAACATGATGCTGGTTAAACTCATCTCTTCTCAATCGTTGTTAACTTTGCAAACCCTGACTAGAAATAAATATATAAAAGCAGTACGAGAAAATCTGTCCTATCGCCAGTTGTTCTCTCGTGTAAAACCTAGTTCTATGCTAACTTTGATTGAAAACTTTCTAGGGGGATGACAAGGATCAGACTGTTAGGTGGCTAAACCGAACTGAAGCTGTGGACTAAGTCGGTCTGACTCTTCCGTTCCTTCTACGCTGTGGACTAAGTCGGTCCGACTCGTCCGTTCCTTCTACGCTGTGGACTAAGTCCGTCTGACTCTTCCGTTCCTTCTACGCTGTGGACTAAGTTGGTCTATCTTAATTTCTGTGGTCATCCAATCTCAAGTGTTTTTTCTTACTGAAGGCTGTCACTCTCTGCTTTCTGCCAGTACAGAAACATTGACAGCTATCAAAGTAAAAGACAAGTATAGCTGTTGAAAACCAAGGCAGCTATAGACAAAACATGCCACCAATTTCGGCCACTTTATTTTGATTTGAACTTCCAACAGTTCCAACAGATTTCTTAATTTCTGTTGACTTAACTACTAAGTTGGTATATCAAAATTTCTGAGGCCATCCAATCTCAAGTGTTTTTTCTTATATGTGCTAAGATTTCTTCTCTTTTGTACTTTTGTGCAAATTAAACTTTGGTTTTCTGGGTTTCCATTTGTCTTCGAACAATGATGGAGCATTCACGTACTATTCGTAATCCGGTTTTGTTGAAATTCCTGCATGGCTTCTTTCTCTTGGTCTTATGCATGATGAGCACATCTTCGGAATCTGCAGCATTTCCCAGCCCTACCATGCTTGGAAACGAATCTGATCGCTTGGCTTTGCTAGACTTCAAGAAAAGAATAACTGAAGATCCTCTCAGTGTCATGAGCTCGTGGAATCATTCCATCCACTTCTGCAGTTGGGTAGGCATTGCATGCCACCGTGCCACCCAAAGAGTCTTGATTCTGGACCTGGAAGATAAACAACTGGTAGGCTCCATTCCACCTTCCATTGGAAATCTCACTCGTCTAATTGAAATAAGCTTGGGAATCAACGAGTTTCATGGTGAAATCCCTCAAGAATTGGGTCGACTACGTACCCTGGAAAGTCTCAACCTGTCTTTCAATTCTTTAGGTGGGAAAATTCCGACTAATATGTCCCACTGTACTCAACTAAGAGTTTTCGATCTTCTTTCCAATAAGATTATTGGGTCGATTCCACGCCAACTCAGTTCATGGTTGAGTTTGACTCTTCTAAAACTTGGAGGAAATGATCTCAGTGGAACCATCCCAGGTTGGATAGGAAACTTTTCTTCTTTGAGAGGTCTTGGTCTTGCTCACAACAATTTTCAAGGAAGCATACCAAATGAGCTCGGGCATATAACAACCTTGCAGATATTCCTCGTTGGGGGCAATAATTTGTCTGGTATGCTCCCTTCTTCAATTTATAATATTTCTTCCATATACATGTTCGGTGTTCAAATAAACCAATTACATGGAGAGCTACCACCAAATCTCGGCATCATGCTTCCTAATCTCGAAGTATTTTTATGTGATATAAACAATTTCACAGGAAATATTCCTGTATCATTGTCAAATGCTTCTAGACTTCAGAGGATTGATTTTTCTACAAATGGCTTCACGGGGACAGTCCCTGGAGAAAGTCTCGGAAGCTTGCGAAGCTTAATTTCGCTAAACTTTGGAGAAAATCGACTGGGAAATGGAAAACTTGGTGATTTGAGTTTTCTCAATTTCTTGGCTAATTGTACTAGTCTTAAAAAATTGGGTCTTGGCTATAATCATTTTGGGGGAGAAATCCCGAGATCCATAGCCAACCTTTCGACCCAACTACAAGTTCTTTATCTAGGGGTTAATTTGTTACATGGAAGCCTCCCAAACGGCATTGGAAATCTTATAAACCTTGCCGATCTAGATATGACTTATACCTATTTGGCGGGTGTTGTCCCCGAAGAAATTGGGAAGCTCAAGAAGATGAAGAGACTAGCTTTGAATGCTAACAAATTTTCCGGGCCAATTCCATCTTCCCTTGGTAATATAACTTCATTGACAGAGCTCTACATGGACGGAAATAGTTTTGAGGGAAGTATACCTCCAAGTCTTGGAAACTGCAAAAACCTGTTGAAACTTTTACTTAATAATAACAATCTAACGGGCAGCATACCTAAAAAGCTTATGGAGATTTCAACCCTTTCAGGTCGTTTAGACCTATCTGGAAATTATTTGACTGGTTCATTGCCAAGTGAAGTGGGTGATTTGGTGCATCTCACAGTGCTAAATGTATCAAACAACAAGTTATCAGGGGAAATCCCCAGCACCATCGGCCGTTGTACCAGTTTGGGGGGCTTGTACTTGGACGACAACAAATTTGAAGGAACAATTCCTCAGTCTCTTAAAGATTTAAAGGGCTTGGAAGAACTTGACATTTCAAGCAATAACTTATCTGGGCAGATTCCTGAATTCATAAGCAAGCTTCGAGCACTTAAGTATCTCAATCTTTCGCATAATGATTTTGAAGGCGAGTTGCCTAAAGAAGGAATTTTTTCAAATGTCAGTGGTGTCTCAGTTCTGGGAAATCATAGGCTATGTGGTGGTATCCCAGAATTACATCAACCTGCATGCCCCAAAAATAAACACCATTCATCTCGAGGACTACTTTCCCCAAAAGTAGTCATCCCTATATCTTGTGCACTTGCATTCATAATTGCTCTATCATGCTTCTTCGGTGCTCGTTCAATGCTAAAAAAGTCAAGAGATGAACTTGTAACTTCACGTTCTTATAAGGATTGGAAATTAGGTGTTTCCTACTCACAGCTTGTTGCTTCGACTAACGGTTTCTCTGTGGATAATTTGATTGGTTCGGGAAGTTTTGGTTCTGTTTTTAAAGGGGTAATTCCTAGCGATGGAACGGTAGTTGCTGTTAAGGTATTAAACCTTCAACAACAAGGAGCGTCTAAGAGTTTCAATGATGAATGCAAAGCTTTAAGAAGTGTCAGGCACCGAAATCTTCTCAAGATCATAACTGCATGCTCAAGCATTGATAATCATGGTAGAGACTTCAAAAGTCTAGTCTTCGAGTTCATGCGAAATGGAAGTCTTGACTCGTGGTTGCATCCTAGAGACGAGGAGCAACCTCCAAGTAAGAGATTGAATTTTATGCAAAGATTGAACATAGCCATTGATGTTGCTTCTGCGTTAGATTATCTCCACAACCATTGTGAAACGTCCATTGTTCATTGTGATCTAAAGCCGAGCAATGTACTTCTTGATGAAGACATGGTAGCGCATGTTGGGGACTTTGGTTTAGCAAGGTTCCTCTTGGAAGCATCAAATGATCATTCCCTCAGTCAAACAATGTCATCGCAACTAAAGGGTTCTATAGGTTACATTCCTCCAGGTATGAGATTCCATCATTCTAATTTCATTTTTCAATTCTTATTAACTTATTACTAAAAACCAACTAATTAAATTCTATTTATTAAAGATACACTATTGACTCTTTTTCCTGGAAACAAGTAACATTAATCTGAAATAAGATATCAATTTTAATAGTCAATTGCATGTGACATCTTATCGTTTATATGTATGTCACTGCAGAGTACGGCATGGGAGGCCAAGTTTCCATACTGGGAGATGTTTATAGCTACGGGATACTCTTGCTAGAAATGTTCACAGGAAAAACACCTACTGATGACATGTTCATTGAAGGTCTAAGCATTTACAAATTCGCAGCCATGGCTTTGCCTGACCATGTCATGGATGTTGTTGACCCTTCATTGCTCCTCGACCTTGAAGTTGATGGTAGTGTTAACGATGACAGATACGAAAGGACTGCGCTGCCCAGACGTAACAATCACAGAGTGGTGAAAGCAAAAAAGGTAGAGGAATGCTTGTTTGATGTGATGCAGATAGGACTCTCCTGCTGTGCAGTATCACCAAAAGAGCGGATGCTTTTGAATATGGTTGTCGGAAAAATGAGTGCAATTAGAGACTCGTACCTCAAAGTTCAAGAAGGCTAAAGAAGGACAAAGATATGCTGCTTGTGGTTTTTCTTTTCTTGTTTTTCTTTACTTTTCCTGCCATTGCTTTGAACCTTACCTGTTTTATGTCAGTTGTTGTTTTAAACAAACGAAGTTTTCATTTATATGACTTGAAGCTTTCAAATTCTTATTTGTGTGGAGCTATTTGTAATTGTCTTGGTTATGTCAATCCTGTTTAGAATATGATAAACTCAATGCTTAAGCAGTTTAGGACATTTCAGTCTCATATTTCTTCCCATATGGTTGCATGTGCTACAAAAGTTTTGTTGGAAATTTTTTTTTTTGTAGCATGTGGGTTATGGTTGTGACGAAGGATGAAAGATTGCTTCAAGGCACTTATAAATATGTTGCCTTTCATACTCTATTTGCCCCGACATACAATGTGCAAAAGGGATATGCGAATAAGCCATGTGGATACAGTTAAGCCCAACGTTACGCCTATTGTTTGTCAAAGTATTGCACTTCTTAGCCATTTAACAACTTCCCCCCACTTGCACCAATGCAAACATTGCCTGTTTAGAAAGACATCCCTCCCCCGAGGGTTTAACCTCCCCACCACCACCCCCAAAACCCAAAAACGATGACTTGGCTTCACACAATCCCTCCACTTGGCAGCTTGGAGACGTGTTGCCCCGTCATCCGGGCATCCCCAAACCTAATTCCCCCCCCTCCTCTCTCTCTCTCTCTCTCTTTGAAAAACAAAATGCATGAACATTGCTCTCGAAGTATCCTCACCCCATTAGCATTACTTGCCCACAAAGCAAATCAAAAACCAAAATCCCCCTCCTTTCGAATTCCACCTCCTATTTAATCCCACCCATCTCTCTGTTTTTTGTCGCCATTAGAACCCCAGAAAGCTTTGCTGTTTTTGTTTTGGGTTATGACAATCCTCTCTCTCTTTGCTCTCGAAGTATCCGCATTACTTGCCCACAAAGCAAATCAAAAACCAAAATCCCAAAAGAAATCCCCCACCTTTCGAATCCCACCTCCTATTTAATCCCACCCATCTCTCTGTTTTTCGTCGCCTGGCAATATGGAGAGTAGTCCAATATCATATAAGCACATAACACCTTGTCCCTCACCAATGTAAGACAACTCTCAACACGCCCCCCGCGGCGGATTTTCAAGCTTACACGTGAACAACAACTGGGTAACGTGGAATAAGTGTGGCCGTTGGGCTTCACACGTGGACAACCTTACTCTTGCTCTGATACCATGATGAAATTGGGTTCCACCGTAAAACCAATTGACAATATGAAGAGTAACCAAGATCATATAAGCACATAGCAAACAATGACAAACGGCTCTCACAGCGGCAATGCGTCGAACTCATTCGAGGCAATCTACGAGCGCTGGCTGGTCCGGCAAGAACACTTCCTCGATGAGCTCTTATCGGCCCCAGGGCCGGTCTAGAGATTTTTGAGGCCCGGGGCGACGTAAAAAAAAGTGCCCTAACTTCATGTAAGAAAATTATTTATTTTCGCACATAAGACATCGAAAAAATTATACTTAGAAAAACACTTCAAACTCAATAATTTAGAAACACATAAAAACTAATTTATTTTGTATTGAGAGAGGGAAACAAAAAAACTTCGGGCTTACAAGAAGATAGATGATGAGTTTTGTTTTCCATTTGAACTTTGAATGTGTTTTTGAATAAATCGTGAGGTGTTTTTTTCTTATTTACTAACCTTGTCAATATGGGACTAAAATAATGATGTTTTCGAGTTTTACTAAATTAAACATTTTGATGACACGTCATATAATTTGCAAATTTGGTCCACGTATTATTCTTTGTTGAAGATTAGACTTGAATTAAAACGAATATTTAAAAATAACAACCCACATAGCTACTAGATAGTAACTAAAAATAAATTACCAACCAAACAAAAATTTGTAAAAATTGAAAAGAATAAACATGTACATAGCATTTCGAACTTAGGACCTCTTGTTAATTTTAAACAACAAAAATCATTGTTTCTAATTAAACTTCTTGATCATTTAACCAAATTTTCTAAATTTATACTCTTATAAAAAGAAATTTGTAAAAGAAAGGAAAGTAAATAAGCACACATGGTGTTTTGAACCCAAGACCTCCTTATTATTTTCAAATGACAAACCACCACTTCTAGTTAAATTTCTGTGTCTTTGAATCAAATTTTATAAATTTATACTCTTATAAAAACATATATAAATATACCGCCCTAATAATTTTGGTGCCCCTAATTTTTTTGGACCCTGAACGGTCGCCCCTCCTGCACTGGGCCTGGGCCGGCCCTGATCGGCCCAGCAGACGATCGACGAGGCCCGAGATGAAGACCTCCGAGATTTGGTGTCTCGGGTTCTCTTCCATTACCAGCAGTATTACGACGAGAAATCGCGACTTGGACAGCGGGATGTTTTACTGGCTTTCTCGCCGACGTGGTATACTTCCTACGAAAGGAGCCTGCTTTGGATCGCCGGGTACAAACCGGGTATCGTATTCCGGCTCGTGACCGAGTCGGTGCCCGATTTGAGCGACCAGCAGCGGGTCAGGATGGCCCGGCTGAGGGAGGCGACCCGGGTCGAGGAGCGCGCGCTCAACGACAAGCTCGCCAAGATTCACGAGAGCGTGGCGGCGCCGCCGTTCATGGATGCGGTGCGGCGGTACGGGAGGGCCGGACACGGGGAGATCGTGGAGGACGACGCGGTGATCAAGTCGCTTAAGTCGGCATTGGAGACCGTGGTGGAGAATGCCAACTTGCTGAGGACGACGATGGCGACGAAGCTGGTGGATTTGCTGAGCTCGGGGCAGGCAGTGAGGTTTTTGACGGCGTTGATGCAGTTTCAGCTAAAGATTCGGAGTTTGGGGTTGGAGAGGGACGCCGAGCAGCAGCGGGAATTGAGCGAAGGCGGTGGTGGTTGGAGTCCAATTAGTAGTAGGTGGTAGAATTTTGAGTTTTATATTTTGGAGGAAAATGTATGGCGGGTTAGGCTAATAATTTTGATTATGGATGGTAATGGTAATTTTGAGATGTGCATTATGTTATATTTAATATGATTGCAATATGTTATATTTAATGTGCATTATGTTATATTTAATGTAATTGATATAAAGGAAAGTTTTGAACTTGAGACACAATAAATTTACAATTGGAACGCAATGAATTGAAAATGATTAAGTAATTTTAATTACAGAGAAAAATGACACTTAATAAGTTTCGATTAGATACCAAAAATTAATCTATACTAAAACTCAAAACTAACTGATTTACTGTTTATAAGCACAGTGTGCTTTCCATTTTGACCCTGTTAAGTTGATTTATTACTTCTCTGCCACTGTCTGAGAAAAGATATATACACTTTATTTATTTTGTTCTTCCCTTCTCTCTTCCCTCTCGCTATTCTCTCCGGATGACGACGGCGAGCTATTTCCGTTCGAAAGCCGTCGAATCAAACCTCATCGTTTTACCAATCGTGTCCCTTTCATCTCAGGAACAAGAAACACCCGTTGCATGCCTCGATTTGTTATGGTTTCAACGAGGATTTTCGAAAACTCCTTAGAGCTTTCCCACGTTTTTCGACGATTCCGGTGAAGGTCGGCGTCGAGGTTGGTCTCAAACTATTCCTGGGTGCTTAAGGTACCTTCTGCATCTATTGCATGTAAAGATATGCTTCAAATTTTCTTATTCAATATAATTGGGTTTTAGTTAAGTTTTCGTAGATTTTTTCCTTTAAATTTCTAGGTTGTGCACAAATTTTCGTTAAATTTGGGGCTTTTTTTGTGTGATTTTTGTGAACACGGAAAATTCCTGAAACGAAAGAGACAAGAACAACGACGTGCACAAACAAATATTTGTATTTGATGATTTTGGGTTACAATCTCTCTCTATTTTGATCCTCTGATTCGATCTCCGTAAGGTGTTGATTGGTTGGTGTTTCGTTGATCCAAGGGCCGTCGAGGCTTGTTCTTGGATGAACAGTTAGAAGTTTCTTCAAGGGGCCGTGGGCTTGATCTTTGAAGGTGGATTTGAGCGGATCTTCAAAGGGGCTTTTGGGCTTGATCTTTGAAGAACAGTGACGAACGGATCTCCAAGGGCTTTTGGGCTTGATCTTGAAGAACAGTGATGAACGGATCTTTAAGGGCTTTTGGGCTTGATCTTGAAGGACGGTTGGATGTGTGGATTTGTCGACGTTGTTGATCCAAAGGGCCGTTGGGGCTTGATCTTGGATGAACGGATGATGAACAATGGTGCTCTCTTCAAGGGCCGTCGGGGCTTGATCTTGAATTGGTGGATGGTTGATCCAAGGGCCGTCGGGGCTTGATCTTGGAAGAACAATGAACGAAGAACGAAGAACGAAGAACACTTTCTTCAAGGGCCGTCGGGGCTTGATCTTGAATTGGTGGATGATTATTGATCCAAAGGGCCGTTGGGGCTTGATCTTATGATGAACGATGAACGAAGAACGCTTTCTTGATTCTTCGGGAACCTGGATGCTTGAGAGCTTCGGAGTTTCAGAGCTTCAGAGCTTCAAGAGTTTTGCCTAATGATTTTTGGTCTCCCTTAAATGAATGAAATGGGCTTGTATTTATAGAATTTTCCAAGGCCTAATTTTGAATATAATATCCCAGATGAAATAAGTCGTTTCTGCCAGGTGTTGACACGTGTCCTATTTGATGACTTTTCCAACTCATTTCAATTTTCGTTGAGTCACACGCTACGTGTAAAATTTATGTAATACATGAGCGTTGACACTTTGATTTATCGGTCAACATTTATTTACCGAAATTTCGATGTCTACAAATGCCCCCCACTTCAAGGCACGTCGTATACATGTGCTTGTCACGTGTAGGAGATGTGTTTTGAAGTCCCTTACTATAGATGTCGATCCAAGGGCCGTCGAGGCTTGATCTTGAATTGGGCTGGAGATTTCTTCAAGGGCCGTTGAGGCTTGATCTTGAATTGGGCTTGAGATTTCTTCAAGGGCCGTTGAGGCTTGATCTTGAATTGTTGTTTGAAATTTCTTCAAGGGCCGTCGAGGCTTGATCTTGAAGGTTGAAATTGGACCACAAGGAGTTTCAATGTGGTAGATGATCTTTGGCTTTTGGTAGTGGGTGAATCGACACGTATTTTGTTGCGCTTTGTTGACTTTCCACAGCTTTGATCTTGAACTGGGTTGAAGGATTTTCTAGATTTCCTCCAATTGTTGATTTTCCACAGCTTATTCTTGAACTAGGTTTTGATTCAAGGGTGGTAGACACTTAATCTTGAATCGGACTTGTGATTTCTTCCAGGGCCGTCGAGGCTTGATTTTGAATTTGGCTGGAAGCTTCTTCAAGGGCCGTTGAGGCTTGATTCTTGAAGGTTGACTCGAACACATGGTAAGCAGGCACGAGGTAAAAGGTGACAACCTGTTTCTTTGTTCAATCTTTTCTAATTCACACCTGAGCAGTTTGGTCAACGGTATGATCTTCAAGGTTGATGAGCTCTTCTTCCCGTTGGTGACATGATCTTTAAGGATTTGATTCAAGGGTGGTGAATCAGCACGTGCAGCCCACAACGCCTAGTAAGTCGACCCAAGAATTTGAGGGTCAAAACGAGTTCTTCATCTCAGACTCTTTCTGCCGAGTTAACTGAGCATGCTGCATTCTTCTCTGCTTGTTTCTTCAGGCAGATATGGCAGCTTCTCGAGTTCTTCAGCTCGGACTCCTTCTGCTGAGTTGACTGTGCAGACCGCCTTCTTCTCTGCTTGTTTCTTCAGCACGTTGTCTCCACATGCTGCAAGGTATCATTTTCACTTGTCTTATCTGTTCTCCAAGCAGATGTGACAGCTTCTATGGAAGTACAGCAGCAGTGGGAGACGAGTACTCGAGAGCAGTGCTAGGCAGGCAATCAGGGAAGGGTTCCAAGCAGTCGGTTCCTTACCCGAGTTTGAGTGGAAGTTCCGGCATATTGTTTTCTTTATCCTTGTCTTTGTAGGTAAGAACAAGGACAAAGGAAAGGACAGGGAGAACGCATGATATGAGATACTCTTGCTTTCAACCCTAGTGATATGAGATACTTTTGCTTTGGAGTCATTGGCTTGCAGAGGTACCCCAAGGAATAAGGAACATTGAATGACTCGAGAGGCTTCGTTGGGAAAGCATTTTTTTTTTTTAGATGAAGAAAGGCTCTGTATGTCTTCCTTGCTGTGGAAGGTGAAGGTGGACAGTTATAGGAAGTTCTTTGATACCTGTAGAGGTACTATTCTTTCACTCGTGTCGGCAACTAACGCGTGATTGAACAGTAAACTTTCACGTGCTTTCTCCTTCACCGAAAATCTTCGACAAATTGCCCGTGATTTGCGCAAAGTTGAGTGTGCATATGACAGGTGATGACGCGGCTGAAAAAGACTGGCGCCTCTTCGATATCTGGGATCGGCGCTTCGACAAATTACCCGTGATTTCCGCAAAGCTGAGTTTGCGTGTGACGGGTGCCGACGCGTCTGGAAAAGCAAGATGCTTCTCCGATTTCTGAGCTTGCCCTCTTCGATTTTTGAATGGCCTCTTCGAATTCTGAGCTCGCCTCTTCGATCTCTGAAATCCCGTCGAGTGTTGATTTTTATAGAGGCAGGCAGTTCATTTCAAAGCACACTCGAATTTTTGCTTGTACCTTCTTGCACTTCTAAGATCTCGATTTGTCCGACCTCTTCTTTCTTTAACACCTTTGAAAATGTCTGGCCCCTCCGATCGTCGTTTTGACTTGAATCTTGGCTGAAGAGGCAGTCCCTTCTTCTCCAGACAACATATGGGCGCCCATCCTTCATATCCCCCACTGGTCCTCTTACCGTTGGGGATTTCAGTGGTGAAGAATGATATGACCGCTGCGGTGGTGGCCCGGAACCTTGTCACTCCCAGAGATAACAGACTACTTTCCAAACGGTCTGATGAGTTGGCTGTTAAGGATTCTCTGGCTCTCAGTGTGCAGTGTGCGGGTTCTGTGTCTAATATGGCCCAACGCCTATTTGCTCGAACCCGTCAAGTTGAATCATTGGCGGCTGAAGTGATGAGTCTCAAACAAGAGATTAGAGGGCTCAAGCAGGAGAATAAACAGTTGCATAAACTCGCACACAGCTATGCGACAAACATGAAGAGGAAGATTGACCAGATGCAGGAATCTGATGGTCAAATTTTACTTGATCATCAGAGGTTTGTGGATTTGTTCCAGCAGCATTTGCCTTCGTCTTCTGGGGCTGTACCGCGTAATGAAGCTCCAAATGATCAACCTTTGGCTCCTCTTCTTCTTGGAGTTCCGCCGAGTGGTGTGGCTTCAAATATTCAACCTCCGGCGCCTCTCATTTCTGAAGCTCTGCCGAGTGGTGAGGCAGCACCTGATCGTCCTTGAAGATCCACTCTTGTAAATTTGATTTTTTTTTTTTTTTTTTTTATTTTTTTTTTAAGTATGTAGAATGCAATTTTATGTAAAATTTCCAGAAAAAATAAATAAAATGGACTTTTATTTCTCTTAAGGCTTTTTTTTTTTTTTTTTTTTTTTTTTTTTTTTTTTTTTTTTGCACATGGTGCCGGTGCCAGATGCATCATCCATTTTTTTTATATTTTCCTTTCTTTTCTCCTGTTTTATTTTTTTTTGCACATGGTGCCGAGCACCAAATATCAAACAATTTTTTCTTTAATCATGGTGCCAGACGCACCAAAGATCAAACTTTTCAATTTTTTTATTTTTTGCAATTTTTTTTCTTTCTGCACATGGTGCCCATGCACCACCAGAAACTTTTGATCTGTCATGGGGCTGTTCCCCATCTTTGATCCACCATCCCATTTTCTATTATTAACTTTTTTTTATAAATTTCGATGATGGGCTGGGGAATTTGCAGGGAAGGATGAAGGCGCATGGAGAGAACGAAGGTGACCTTGATGTCGGATCCAGAGCACAGCCACTGAGCCCAACCACAGAGCACAGCCACTGCACACCCGTTGTACTGCCACTGAGCACAGCCACCGTACACCCATCGCACTGCCAGCATCTTCACTGCACTAACATCTATACTGCCTGTTGAACTTGCTGCACTGCCTTGTCGTC